ATTAGTAAACATAAAAAAAGTTAATATATTGGAAATTTACATTAATACAAATTTATTAATATTTTTTTACATAAAATTTAGTCAAAGTAAGGTGTGTGAATAGGGCAAAAATTCCAATGTTGCAACTTTAATGGAAAGGAGGAAGTATTGCATTTAGTATTGCCAATCTACCCCAATTACATCAGCCCATTGAATCCATTTAATCTGTACAGCCCATTAATATCCGTCCAGTCCATTTAGATTTACGCAGTCCGGATTATTCCAGCCCACTTTAAAAGCCTTCGGTTCTTCAGCCCAAACCCTAGCAATATATAACCCCCTCCCCTAGAGTATGGATTATTACAGACCACTTTAAAACCCTTCGGTTAAACGGCCGCTCTTCATCTCTCTTCTTCTAATTTTTTTGTATGCTTTCTGTATCACCTTACTCTATGTTTCTTCAAAAGTCTATACCTCTCTGTTCGGATAATTCCAGACCACTCTATGTACATCTATCATATTCTGGTGTTCATTGACAACCATTTTGGATGTGTTCGTGAACACGTTAACGAATTGAAGGATTGTAGTCCTTTTTCGGTTCAATGAACGGTATGATTATTTTTGTTAAATTAGGCATAGTTTTTGTATTTCTGTAATGATTCTCCTACTTTTCAATGTTATCCGATGATCGGTGTGTTCTTACACATGTGAGGAAGTATAACTACTGAACTCTGAGTTCCTGGTTTTCTTTTCGATTTCAAAACATTTGTAAAATATGGATTTTTCTGCATCGTTTTTGTGTTTTTAAAAACATTGGTAAAAGATGGATTTTTGTACATCTACGTAATTGCTACAATATTACGAACCTTTGAATAGATCTATCAAGATCTCCGAATCTGTGGTTCGTTTATGCTATTATAGCAATCATATAGCATTAGATCTAATAATTTATGGCTTCGAACGCGCTTGCATAAGATGTAAACCATTTGTTGCGTTTCGATCTAAGGATCTACGCAGTTGTGATGCGTTTACCTCTTAATAGCCTTAGATCTATTTTTGGGTTAATTTCCAGTTTATATTTATAACGCCTTGCCCAGATGTATATAGATCTATTTAAATTTATAAATCTCTAACTTCCAACACGCTGTGAAAGACATATACCATTTGTTGCGTTTAGATTCGTAGATCCACGCCGTTGTGATGCGGATATGTCTTAATGGTCTTTAATTATGTATATAGATCTATGCATGTGTTATGAATTATATTTCATATATTGCGTACGAACACGTTTGCAATAGACATATACCATTTGTTGCATTTAGATCTGTAGATCTATGCAGTTGTGATGCGTATATGTCTTAAAAGCCTTTATCTATATACATCTATGCAAGTGTTATTGTTATATCTCTTGAAATGCATAATTGTTTCACTTCCCTCTACCCAACGTAATCCTTGTTCAAGTCTACACTATAGAACTGGAGTTTAGGCCTTCAATATGAGCTAGCCAGATTCCCTACCAGCCATGTTTGGCCTTCGGATCTGCGTGGTCTGGCAGCTCATTGCCTATGACCTATCTTAAATGGACCTGTTTTTACAAATCGGCCTTTCTAAGTATCTGCTGGAAATAGTTGTTTTTGTATATGACTATACTAAGACGTATTAAAAATGCCTTACTCTATTAAATTATTTGAGATTAAACTTAAAAATTAGTCTTTTTGTCAACCTTTGTTAGGTAGATCCTCGTTTGCTCTTTTACGGTTGATTACTGTGGACTTTGTGAGCCTCCTCATATTTAAGATTGGTACTCTTACATTACCTGGATTTATCACATAGATGCATTTTATGCATTGTAGCAGTTCTATTTGTGGCATCGGCATTATAAAAATATTTGGTATTGCTAAATTAACACTTCATTGTACACATCACCTATGTTATCATACACTACATAACTTCAGAACATAAACTGTTATATTACGGCATGCGAATAATACATATAATGTTCATCATTGTCATTTTTCATTCAAACTGCCATTCATTGAACACAGCACTTATGATTCACATCCACACCTAACCATCAATGCATATCTCATGCATGTTACAAAACATTCATGTTACACATGACCATCACTTATGCATTTCTACTCATCCACTCCCATGACATACCTACCACCATATCTGCATTAAAGTACTTTGTGTTTAGTTGTATTATCCGATCTGATTTCCTTGGTATCATAGTTGGTGCATCTACCCATGCTGAACAATCTTTGCATAAGTATTCCATGTACTTTCTGTTCTTCTTTATTTGCCTCATGCAGAAATAATGACTATAGTTTGAATCACACCATGAGCATGCATCCAGTAAAATGCCAACACACTTTTTTCCACACGTATAGCACCCCCCAGTTGAAACTACTTGACATGAACATTCACTCATCTTGAATAGCTAGAATGAAACATAGGTTATTAAAATATACACCCATTAAAATTTGGTCATATGGTTCATGGTATTCGCATAATACATTCATATAAGTAATGCATAACATCTAATTTGTTTTGATATGTCATTTATCTATTTAATTACATGGTATTCACCTGACACATTCATATACGTAATGCAGATAGTAAATATGATAATAGACTTACTGTGTTTATTAGGATTCAATATGTGTAATATATGAACTTCACTCCTTGTGTTGCCTCCTACTTCGAAGGTTTGGTCTGTTTTCATAAATGAGGTAGTGGTTGAGGCATTAAAGACTATTTATTCTTCTACAATGTCAAGATAGTCAAATACCGTTGGTAAGTAGCCCTTTCTGTCAAACATTTATTATGATTGTGACCTTGGATTATTATTTATGACGACCTTGGGAAGACGCTACTTTCAGCTACTCTCTCCGGATATGGTTATAACTGTGAGTTCTTTACAGCACTTTTCGAAATTTCTTTTCCTAGCTGTACTATTCATTAAATGCGACCTCGGGCAAACCCACATATGTACAGTTTTCTTTAAACCAAATACTTTTCTCTATTTACAAAAATGATAAACACAGCTTAGACTCTAAATCTATAATTCTTACGATATTTATATATTTTGAATAATTTACGGCCTGCGTGTTATATAAGTGTACTAAAATTTGTATTTCTTTTATAACATTGACAGGCCAAAATCTAATGTGCTCGAAATACGTATCTTAACTAATATATATCCTATTTTGAAATGGTATTATTACCTATCATGTCAACAGTCATGTTTACGCTCACCCTGGTATTATTACCTATCATGCCCGAAATACGTATATTAACTAATATATATTAACTATATGGTATATTATTTCTTTTGTAATACTGATATAAAATTTAATTGACATCTTATTATATGTATAATATATTACATACCCCACATATAGTTATCCTTTTTTTAAACTGTTAGTATGAAGTTATGATTTCTCATACCGTTGAGAAATTAAGCATGTTTTGAGCACACATTACAAATTATATATTATTAACATAGGTTTTCAAATTAGTTGCTTATGAAGTAGAGTTTTGACTTGGTTAAACATGTTCACTTACTGTATCGAGATCACCTCACAAACATGCTCTAACTTACTGTTTTTGTTTTTATTTGAGGTGCATTCAGAAACATCAAACTTGTATTTTTTTTGTAATTTACTTTGATGAATGTAATTCATTGGTTTTAGGATTGCAGATTTCTATACCCACCTATTTATAGATTTATTATTATTATTAAATCATCCAAAGAATTTCCCCCCAATGCTTTTTACAATCCACTTAAATGAAGTACCGATTTCAATTAAATTTGATCAATCTATTTTCATCTTAAACTTTATTTAAAACCCATACCAGCATTTACCTAAAGTTATAGATTTTGTCATAGACATTTTTAAAAATCTAGATTTGATTCAACTTGAGGATTGTGTTTTATTTATTATAAACAAAAGCTTATTAATTATTTGCTTAAAAGTACATAATACATTAAGTAAAGAATAAAGTAGATCTTCCTCTGACTTGGTGTTTTTATTTACATTTCAGGTGCGTTCAGGAACTTAAGTGAATTATGTAATTATTTTTTCTTTTAGTTTAATGAATGTAATTCATAGGTTTAGGGCCTTTAATAAGGTGCCTCATATGTAATAATTAAATAGTTTAGACCTCTAGGAATGCAGGTTCATAGCCACACCAAACACCAGGTATGTCTATCTTCCTTTATTAATATCAGCCTTTGTCAATATATAAATTGTATGATGTATGATTTTAAATGTAGTCAACAATTTAGAGAGCAGGAACCTTTTTAATTAACTTCAACAATAGTTAATTTTTTGTATTCTATTTCTATGTTTAGCCAAAATCTTCATATTTCACGGCAAAAGTTTTGGTTTGAATTACAAAGTTGCAATGGTGTTACCATTTCCTTGACTGTAGGTCTGTAGCCAATATAGTCGAAAAGATGAATTGTAACATTACAATCTAAGTCGTAGGATTCTTTCCACACCAACACTTTTGTACTAACATTTTTGTTGGTAAATTTTCATTACATTTATCAGATGACATGTTTTTAGTGAACACATTTTCGAAATATTTATTTCGAATTAAGTTTAAGTTTGATAAATCTTCTTTTAATCTGTATTAACATAAATTTGAACTAACATTTTTGTTTATATTGAACATTTTTTCGAAATATTATTCAAATTTAGATTAAATTAATCTTTTTTAATCTGAAACTTATTTTTTAATCCTTATAAATTACACTACCTCCCACTTCGTTTATCACCGTTCGGTTAAACTTAGCCAACAAACACATAGCCAACAAACACATTTTTTCATCAGATAATCTTTTTTTTGTAGGTTTGTTGTTTAAACAATTGTGCTATATAGTATTTTTTGAAAATACTTGAACTTTAGGTAACACAAAACCACATTTAATATCATAACTTAATTGGGTTTTCTTTATAATCAAAACAATGACAACTCTCATGAATAAGAAATAAGTGTTATTGCCAGGAATTTCTATATGAATCAAGCCCCCCTGGTCTACTCTCTTTTGTCTTCGTTCCTCCAGATCATGGTCTCCTGGTCTCCTTTCCGTTTCGTAGGTGCCCTTCTTCCTTATGCTGATGCATCCGTAGGAGTCCTTTAACCCTGAAAAGTTGACATTGCAAAATCTAACATAGAAAAATTTGTTTTGATCTGAAATATAAGTCTAACATAGTTGATAATTGTTCATGCCTACAACTTGAACAATGCAAAACAGAGTTCATTACTACAGACCCAGCTCGTAGTTTAGCAAAAAAGTAAGGCACAGTTCTAAATAAATATGTAAGTGCCCAAACAAAATATTCAACAAATCATCAATCCACACTCCTTTTTCAAGTAAAATGTAGCTGAGCCTGCTGGTCTATCTTCACATTATTCCTTCTCTTGTTTGACGCGGATACTTCTCCGTTTGATGTTAACATTCGCCGAAAACTGATCATTCAGATTTCTCTTAAGTTGATCGTTCCCTTCAATACCACCTACTGTCCGAATAGTTGTTGGAGTTTCTAGGCAATTCACTTCCTTACCCTGTCCAGAAACAATTTGTTTTTATTGCCTTGTTAAACAAATTCCACTCTATCAAAAAAGAATTTGATAACATCATCTACCTTTTCAGCCGCCCTCCTGTCATCTTGGTTTTCAACTTGTGTAGGTGACACGAAATCGTCATCTTCAATTACAACAGTCTGCATACCAAATAAATTAGTATCATATGATACAACGAAATTAGTTAATAGGAAAGCTTATCCAGACCTTCTGTTTTGATTTACTGCTAGCAGTACCATCTTCTATCTCGTTTCCTGTTGATCCGCTCTGCACATATAACAAATGTTTTTTATGCTGTCCACACCAAATCAAACATTTCAAAACATTTACCTTCTCAACATCTGTGTTTTCATCCATTTCAAGTGCATGGGTTTCATTTTTGGTATAGAGGTCCAAGATAGATTTGTCTCTTATCATTGCAAGTATCCCATATGAAACTGGACCTTTGTAAGAAGAACTTTCGTCTCTTGCTTTTATTTGAATTTTGAAGATTGCTCTTTGATCAATCAAAGCCTCAATGTCCTCAGGGAAGTGGGTAGGATCACCCGTTTTCTGAAAATAAAAAACTTAATGAATTATCTTCCCTTTTCAGAATTGCTAGTGTAAAAAGTATTTTTTTGAATCAACCTTTTCAACTTCCATTCTTAATATTGCTGCAGTTTTCCCCACAATATCTATACATTCCCTATCCCATAAGGTGAACGTAGCGTGACCTGAGTCATCCATGACACAAACTGAAACTTTGTACCTGCATACCGGAAGTTGGCAGATTAATGTTTGAAGTTAGTCTTATTTTAAAGTAGTGGAAAGTGATACATCTTAACCAATAACACAACCTCAACACTCCCTCGGGAATAGTCGTGTCACATGTGATGCATCTGAACCTTTCATCTTCTGGCTTTATTTTCTTGTTGCATGTTGGGCAGCTCAGGTAGCACCATTCCTTATAGTTGTCTAGTGATACAATATCACCAAGTAGCCAATAGGTTCCATCCTGTGTACAGAAGCTGTGAGTAACAAAAGGTGATCATTTTTTATACAGTTTCTTTGATTAATCAACTTTTTACCTCTGGGTCCTTTAGCAAATCACTGATGTTTGTCATAGTAGCCTTTCCCCTAAAAACGTCCTCACTACCCTGACCAACTGAATTTGCAGTGAAGGTAGTCATTGTTGTATTGTCGTCATCTGGTCCAAACTGCGATTTCAAATCTTCAAACTTCGGGCTAGAACCATTTATTAACAACTTCGAAACATCATAAGATGTTCCCACCAAGACATGACCTGAATATGTTTGAAATCTTTCATCAGCCCATTTGAAGCCAAAATAAAAAACTTAAGTTTTTTTTGAATTAGTCCTTACCTTGATAGCGTCTGGGTCTACCCATTTGTAGTATGATGTAGATGGCTTCATTTTTATGAGCATCATAAAAATCAGTGAACTGTTTGCAGTAGTTGTTCCACAATGTGCATCCAATACGATTTCCACTACAAATAAAAAAGAGTTTCATCATAAACTCTCGATTTTTATGATAAACAAATACCATATCATAGACAAAATTAAGACAGTACTCTGGATCTTCCAAAGTTAGTTCAATCAGCTTTTCTGGTTTCCCATTAACGATTGGTGTTTGTACTGGAGTCTTCCCGACGTACTTACCAATTACATCTGAAGAAAAACTGTTATTAAACGGTGTGATTATAAAAAAGCGTTTAAGGATATGTAAATGAAATCACCGATAAGCAATTTGTCGTTGATGACTCTTAGACTCTGCAGCGCGTCAAATTGATGGAAATTGAACACTAAGTTTGGAAAAGTTGCTGAGTGCAAATCATAGACCATTGTTTTTTTGAAAAATTCTAAAACATAAGGGTGTTCAGTAGTTTTGTAGTTGAAGTAGTTATCAAAAACTAAGAAGTTCTTGATTCTGAAACACTTGTTTTCCTGCAGTTTGTTTTCATACAAATGCATGAATGGCCTTTTCACAACAGCATGAATGCGGTCACCCTGCAAAATGAAAGCAAAATGAATTAGGAAGATGATCACAAAAGGATTTTAAAAATAAATTAAACGCTTTCGAAATAGAAATTACGTTCTCATCGTGGAAAACAAATTCCCTTCTTGCACCTCCTTTGGATTGAGGTGAAACCTCATATGCTCTCACCACCCTTACTTTTAGAGCCCAGTTTGTTCTGGTGTGGTTAACTTCCCTAATCATTGAATACAATTGACTACCATGTGGTTCGGAGTTTTCTTTGCTAGATGCCATTGTGGTTTGTAGTTTTGAACTGAACCATGTTGGTATTTATAGGGAATTCGAATTTTTAGGGTTTGCAATGAAACTGAATTACCCAAAGTGCAATAGATCTCGCCCCTCTCAACCACCCCATTTAATGCCACCTAATTCATTAATGCTTGAGAACCAACCTCTGCATTTGGAATGACCTTAATGGTACGAAATGTCACACCGAAGTGGACCCCAGACCACAGAAGCGAATTGCCCACTTTTGACCCATTTTTGACCCGAAACTTTGGGCGGGAAAAGTTGTTGCATTTCCACTTCGTTTTGTATAGAGTAAGATTTTGACCACATTCCGATTTACAGTGACTCAAAAAGTGCGATTGCTATCTCATGCAACCCGGTTCATCATTCTCGCACTAAGCACATTGACCTGAGATTCCACTTCATCAAAGATCATATTGAAAAAGGTCATGTGGACCTATACTTTGTGTGCACTCAGCTTCAATTGACTGATTTATTCACAAAAGCTCTGGACGAGAAAAGATTTCAGTTCCTGGTCTATAAACTGGGAATGCTGAATTTGGAATTTTAATACCGTGCACAAGTATAGGGGGAGTTTTAGTTATAAATTTTTTTGTGTGTCGTGTCATTTTTTTAGTTAGTTTCATTGTCTGTGACCCTGTTTCCCTAAAGTGTGCAAACATTAAGGGGGAGCAAAATTTGTCTGGTCCGAGTGCTATAATTGAGGGGGACTAATTTTTAATTTCTTTTTAGTATCCGCATTTTTTAAAAAATTTAGAAAATCACAAAAAAAAATTGAGCCAGTCTAGGATTTTTAGTCAGTTAAATTGAGTCAGTTTCCTAAATCAGAAAAATCCAAAAAGATTTTCTCTTTTCTTTTCGCGGGTACTTAAGAAAGAAACGGTTGGAATTTTGTTTCATCTTCCTCTATCTCTATTCTCACTTTTTCTAAAAAGCACTCAAAGAGCTCTCACAAACTTCATCTTATTCGTCCGTCATTCATCTTCTTCACCAGGTTGTTTATGCTTTTCTTTGTTTAAATTTTGTTTGCATGTGTGCGTGTGTGTGTAAAATTGCACCTACACCCTTGGAAACGTCGACGAAGAAACCGGACCCAACCACCGGAAACCCCCCTCGCCGTTGTCTTCACCATTCTTCTACACCCCAAAGTTTTCTTACCTTCCCCTGAACCTCAGACTCCATAGCAAAAGAGCTTTTCATTCCAACTTCCTTCAAATTCCCTCAGCCGAAATCCCATTCGAAATATCAACCAACATACCAATCTCCGGAACCGACCCTACCGAAATCCTTGTCCCGAACTATTCCCCATTCCGAAATCATTATATTCGAGATTCGCCTTCCCGAAATCTTTACCCAAGTTCTCCATCCGAGATTCCCTGTCCCGAAATCATACACCCGAAATCATAACTCGGCCTCCCGAAATCTTTCCTTCCAAAATCATTCTTTTATTAAGACCTGAAATCCTCAAATACACCGGGTCACCGAAATCCGTTTACTAAAATCCCTCTACCCAAAATCCCTTTACCGAAATCATTATATCCGAAATCCCTCCACCCGAAATTCCTAATACTTGAAATCCTTGAAACCCATTTATCCAAAACTAAAGCCCATTTCCCCATATCACCAAAGCCCAAAAACCATTTCTCTAATCTCAAGTGTTTTTTGTGTGCAATTCAAGCATAATGGCTTTCATATATGAGGAGGAAGTTTACCCACAGGAGAACTGGATTGAGATTAAGGACAACAATTATTTGTTGGACCCCACCATACTCAAATGCCAAGACAAAGTAATGATCTTCATACTCAAAGGGCATCTACTGTGGCCAGCACTTACATTGTCTGTCAAAGCCCCTAAAATCTACCTGAGACAACTCTGGAGAACCATGAACACCACTACTGACCCAATCCCCACTCTCAAAGCCACACTAGCCAACACCACCATCACCATCACCAAAGATACCTTCCGTACCCTCCTCCACCTACCAGTATCAGCTGAATACGACCCATTCCCAGAGAACTCAACCATCTTCTCATATATGATCAAAATAGGCCATCTACCTCCTCTCACATCATCCTCTCAATTCATAAGCAACAAGCTGCCCAGGCCGTGGAAAACCCTTTTTGCAATTCTGAACAAGTGCCTCTCATCCAAACAAACCAGCCACGACCAATGCAACATTCACATTCTGAAGCTGGTCCATGGAGTTATGTTTTCAAAGAACTATGACTGGGCACAGCTCATCTGGCTCGAGATCCTAGAACAACTGAGCACAAGGGCATCCAACAAAAAGACCAAGTACGTCCCATATGTACGTTGGTTCTCAATTCTGATCGACCACTTCATAAAGGAAGATGTCAGCCTTCCACCAAGGCCAACAGCAGAGATGCAAGCAATCCCTCAGCTTATCCACTTCAAGAACTCTGAGAACACTCCTGAGATGTAGCCCATGCCTATCCCGGATGCTCTACTCAACCTTGCTGCTCCCAACTATCCTCATGTTGCTGAATACAAGATTAGTATGTCTTCTATCCCTACGACACAGTCAAACCCCACTATGTCTACCCAAAGGACTTCTAAGCTGAGTGGAAGTAAGGGTCCGAGAGTGACAAAGACCAAAAAGAGGGCAGGTGAGACTCAGTCCAAGAGAGCTTATGTCTCCTCCTCAAGTGCTTTAATTGTCTCATCATCACCAGTCACTGAAATAAACCGAACTCAACCCATAGGTACAGGTTCTGACCTTGTCAGTTCCCGAGTAGAAGTCACTACATCGAGTTCAATAGCGCAAAATGAGCCAAGCATAGACCACTCGACTGTCTCCCAACAGATGGTCGTTTCAACCCAACAAGGGGAACCCATCAGTGAACCGCCCCACACTGCAAGCCAATGTAAGTTAGGTCTCATGTCCACAATCCCAGAGTTTTTATTATTTTCTAGGACACAACCTTTTATTTCTGCACACACTGATACAGGTTCATTACCTCCTGTCTTAACAACCAGAGATACGTCAATGACGGTTGGAAGTCCTGCCACACTATACTCCCCAGCAGGCCATGGCACCACTATTCTTAGTGATGTTGTGAGAACTGATACTTCTTTTAGGTCATGTTTTTCTTCATTCGCTAATTTAACTAGGGAGGATCTGAGGTCTGAGCTTCTAGCCTTCAAGCTTTCACTTTTACAAGACCTACGCCCTATAGTCCCAACAGGCGTAGCAGACCAAAGATCACACCCAACTCCCTGCATAGGAACTCTTCCATCAATTATTACACCTACTACCATCATACCCACATCCTCTCCATCTACCTCTCACCTCGACCCTACCCAAATGAACATTCTAGATTTATCTGAGTATTACCTTGATAGACTCCTAGCCGAACCTACCTTCCACCTCATCCTAGCCCAAACCCCACCATTCATCCCTACCACCACTTACCGTGATCAAGAACGCTTTCCTAAGCGTGAGCATGATGACGTCGATGATTCGGATCATCATGAGGGGGAGAAAAGGCAACGTACTTGTGAGCAAACAACTTCAAAATCAATCATCCCATCCTCCATTAGCTCTGAACCATCCACATCTTCTCAGCCTGAACCTTCATCCTCCATCGCACCCAACGAGTCACTAGCCTTAACAGTTTTTCACCCTTCTGAACCCATTAACACCGAGCCAGGACTTTGTGTCCTCTCGAGAACTTCTATAGGCTCATCCTTCATGGATGTTGACCAAGGATTGGAAGGAAGTCCTGACAATGCAACATCTCTATCACCATTGTTTTCAGGCCATCAGAATGAGTTCACCTCAGTATGATGAAAACGGTAAGTCTCTGTGACTCCGGTGTTACGTTACCCACATCTGCCCCTCCGATTTCCACTTCACAAGTCCCATAGGTTGCAAAGCCTAGATCTACTCCTACTTCAGCAATCCCCCAATCTGATCAACCATCATCATCATCAAGAAAGAAAGCTTCAAAGCAAAAGGAAAAAGAAACAAAGAGAAAGCTACTGATCTAATATTGCTTGAATGGGTAGAAGACAATGAGAAAGATAAACTTCATAAGCTAGACAACGCAGAAGCTCTAAAGAAGCTGAATTTCATTCGAGAAGTCAAGAAGACGGATGCTGAAAAGTTAATGGGACTTGAACCTGAAGAGTATGCTCAAGGAGAATTCTACGACGATCCACTTCCTGATTTTCACATAGTCAAAGATCTGATCGTGACGCGCCCAGGTGATTCCAAGATAGAAGACAAATTTGAGATACCTTGGGAGAATGTCAAGATAATCGTGCCATACCAAGAAGATCTGAGACCAAGGATCTGGAGAAGTGAGAAAGGAATCAAGAAGATAGACGAACTTGAGCTAAGAGGACTAGAACATTTGAAAGGAACAGAAGCTTCTGGTCACATTTGGATGCTGAGAAATATGACTGCAGATCAGAATGATCCTTATGGACATCGTGAACGACTGAAGAAACATTCTGATTCTCTAATCATTGGGATCAAATCAATTGAAGTTCGTAGCTGCGGATTAGTAAAATATCCAGTGATCGAGTTCGAATGACAAAATAGAATAGTACAAAGAGTCTCTGAAGCTAATCTATATCATGTTGTTCCTGAAGATCTCATCCAGCTATACTACGAATAAAGGAAAGAGAGACTAAGAGATTTTCCTCCAGAAGACAGAGAACTAGGCCTTAACGCACTCAAGAGATTCATGATGAGACAAGTCAAATACTATTCTCTCTTCGATCTGCAAATGGCCATTGAAAACAATCTTTCCAAAGTGAATTATTCTGCTCCAAGGAATAGAGCTAAATGGATCGAAAGTTTTGAAGAAGGCACCATCGTAACACAACCCGAGATAGGACTCGTCTACAAAGATTACAAGGGCATCAAACGAGGTCTACTCATGAGCAAAATTCACAAGTACTGCGATGGTACACTTAGAATAATTGAAGATCATCTGGTAGAAGCTGCAATCGAGCTACTTAATTCCAAGAATCCAGATGACTCGATCCAGATTGCTCTCATTATAGACTTTGTCGAAGCCATAAGACTCAGACTTGATTTCAGAAGAACTCTCAGACATTATGAAGTCATTCTAGGCTATCGGAAGTCATTGTCAATGATAGTCCCTGTTTTCTATTACAGCAATATGAATAACAGTATAACAAGAAGAAGATTAACCGTAAAGATGAACACAGATGAATCGATGTAAACCCTCCTTGATATACCGTGAACTCGTACAGAGAAGTATTTGCGCTAAGGCTATTTTGAGCGTGTACGAAAGTTAACCTAGACCTGAATCCTCGGCTCCCTTTTTTAGGCGAGGTTCAGGTATGCGTATAAGGCTTTTAGCCTTTTGTATGGGCCTAACACTTGGACCATATTATATACCTAATAAATGCACACATTTAATACAAGGAATAATAATAAAGCTAATCTACTACAAGATACGTGACAAACTTGATTCACAATTAAATGATCTTCAACAATCTCCCCCTTTGTGATCAAGTGCCACCTTGTTATTGCTTCTGTGATTTGAAATAGTGCTTCCTCATATTCAGTGCGTGCTCATATTGCCTTAGCATGTTTCTCTTGTCTAGGAGATCGTCGATGGCTTTTAGAATGGTCTCCACTGTTGAGTGTTCCTTTTGAATGTATGACGATGCCTCCTCAAGATTTTGCTCTAGTTGTTCCTTCATCTTCAGCAACTGTTCTTTGATGATCTTCAGCGTTCCATCACAATATTTCTCAACTTTGCTAACCACCATCAGGCGTTTTTCATTCTTGTGGTTGAGATATATGACTGCTGGCGGTGTGAAGAAGATGTGGTATGCTGGGAAGTCTTCGAGCTCTGGACCATACAGTCTTGGCTTTGTAAGATTTGTTTTTGTCAAGTTGCACTCGATGGCCATCTGTAGGCCGTGAGATGAGTGCACTCTGATTTGTATGAGCATGAACCTTTTGATTGCTGCGAGGCCTTCGCTGTATGTTTTGCTTTGTCTGACTGGAAGGTATCGATATGCCATAAACATTTGATAGATGTCGTCTGGTTTAAGCATGATGAAATCATTTTCTTGGCATGTAAATTCACTCCCATCGGTGCGTTGAAGCTTGTAAGAATAGAATCTCACTCCGTGATAATCCTCGGCCTTAACCTGTAGGATTTGATGAATAGGGAGAATGTTGGATTTCAAATCCTGTTCCATCAGCTCTCTTTGAGTACCGGTTGACCGTTGCAACAGCATATGTAGATGACCTCCTGCCAGCTTTCCTTTGAGATGGGTGAGACCTCGCAGCTTTAGTTCATTCAAACGTTTGACTTTGTCTGGTCTACGCCATATACGCTCTCTGATTTCCTCTTGGAAGGGGGCTTTGATTCGTACATTGTCCCAAGGTTTCTCTGTCCTGGGAAGTCGTCCCGCCGATTGTCTGACGACAGATTCAAGTTCTTTCTGAGTTTCCTTGTAGTTCTCCCCTTCCTTTCGTTCATCGTCCTCGAGCCTGATTATATCTTCTGCACATTTGTTGATGAGTTCTCGTAGGAACCAGTTCCTTTGCATATCTTCACATTCTTCATCCTGCATGATTTGATCCATCTCCGTCCACTGTCTGGGCCATTTGTCGTGAATGATGATATCTTCTAGTTGATCATGCATTTCATCTGACGACAGAACGGTAGTGGCTGGTTGATCTTTTGGAGACGGAGACCTGTTAACTGGAACACCGAGGTCACTGGGATTTCCCATTGTCATCAGCTTTGAATGAGGTTCTAACTGATGGCCTGACGTAACAGATGTACCAGTGGTAACATCATCAGGACTTCCATCCCCTCCTCGGTTGGTATCTCTAGGAGATACGCCTCAGGATGTTTCATCTAGCTCGACCAGGCTAGAGAGTTTGGTTGCGGGTGGTGGCTGTTGGTTGGTAGAGATTTCTGGTTGAACGGGCTGTGGAGTGTGGCTGGCTAAAGCAGTTTGCTCAAGTGGTCGTGGCCGCTTGTTCTCCCCTCATGAGGATCCGAATCGTCGGGGTCCTCATGGGAACGTTTGCAACCACGAGGATTGTCCTTGCATTTGCTTTTGGTTTCAGGGGAAGAGAGAAGGGCTTCGAGAATGGCTTGTTGGTGGAGGGTAAGGTTGGCTTTTGGGATGTTGAGGAGATGGTCCAGCAAATCCGATGCCAAGGTTTCGAAAGGTAACGAGGAGAGATCGATGGAAGGTGTGGTCGGGCGTGGGGAGAATACTAGTTCTGTATCTTGGGTTCCCCGAGAAGGTGAAGGAATGGGTATTTGGTTGATTGAGTGGTGAGATATGGCGGTGGAAGATATTGGTTGTGTATGGGAGATGAAGGGTTCGGGTGAAGGTTGGGGTGGGGGTTGTTCAGACTGAACCGCTTGGGTGGTCCTAAATTCCTGTGCAAGAGAGGTCATTGCTTCTTGCACCCATGGTTTGATGGTGGAATCCAGGAAGCGATTTAGCAGAACGTTGACATCTTCAAAGGTTGGGTGTCCAAATACGGGGGTTGTAACTGTTGTCACAGCATCAGTGAAGATAGTTGATGTGTGGCCTGCGTGCAATGATGGAATCATTGAAGGCATAGCAGGACTTCCAACCGTCATAGCTTGCGCTCTGGTTGTTGCGTTCAGGGTGTGTGCACCTGTATGTGCTGTGAATAGTGTAGGTGTCCTAGAAAATGTAGAAAATGTTGGAAATGTGACACCTAGACTCGATGTGTTCGAAGGAGGGGTTTTGACCTCGGGCGATTGGTCAATAGTACGCTCAACTGATTCGGAAGGAACCAGCGAGGGGGGTGAGTCACGTGCTGTTGAAACGATAGCCTGTTGGGAGGCTATCGAGTGGCTGGGTGAGGGCTGTGCATGCGCAGTTGAGCCAGATGCTGCGACTTCTACTCGGGAACCGAAAAGATCGGCTCCTGTACTTAGGGATTCGGCTCGGCTTATCTGGATAAACGGATCACATCCGGCGAATATGTGCTCGTCCACCTTATCTATGAGGCTCTTTCTGACGCAAGGCTGAGGCTTTGACTTAGCAGATTTGTCATTTTTTATCTTAGCCCGTTTCTCTCGGATAATGGCATCTTTTGAGTTCTTGATGGCATGGGTTGCTTCATCATAGTCAGCCTTGGAGCTGTTGGTTTCTCTGTGAACGCTCTTGGATTTTTGCAGCTCCTTGATGGTGAAGACCTTTGGTCTGCCTGCAATTATTGGTGTTGCGTCTTCAGCAGTTATCTTCTTTGGAGATTCGACAGGAAGCTTTCCTTTTCTGATTAGAGCATAGGTGTGCTCAACGTCGTCGTTGTCATCATCATCACCATCAGAGTCGGACTCCTTACCATCAGTACCCACGCTCTCGGATGCCTCATCGTCAGTGTTAGTTTGGGCATCACTGGACGATTCATCAGCAGATTCCTCAGCGTCTGTTTCGGTGCCCTCAGCCGTCTGACTCGTCTCGAGAGAGTCGTCAGACTTTCCTTCATGGGGCAAACCGGCCACTGGTTTCTGTGGCTTCTAGACTTGCTTAGGACCCTTACTTGCACTCGGCTTTGTCCCTGGAGTAGGTCCAGCTGGGTTTTGCTGAACCATAGGGACATTTCTCTCAATGCTCTCGCGGTACTGTTGGACTGTCGGATTGGATGGATTGGTGAGTTGGAGCAGGAACCCAGGAATCCGCAGACCGATGACAGGATTTTTGTCTGCTTTGAAGTATTGCAGCTTTGGGGCTGTGTAGTGTGGATCAGCATTGCGTCTAGGAATGGAGGTGTGCTCTGCCATGCAGTCATGGATGATCAGCCCCAGCCACCTCGCGTATGGGATGGTACCTGGCCTGTTTTTCTCCTTTGCTTTTACCAGGTCCATGAGCTCTGAGAAGAAGAGTTGTGCCAAGTCGTACTTTTTGTTGTATGCAATGCCATGAAAGATGAGTAGGATCTGCTTGTTGCACTTGTCAAACCTGGCATGCTTCGGTGACAGGCATTTATTTACCAACCCGAACAGACTCTTCCACGGGTGATGGAGATAGGCTCCATTGAAGTTTGACAGCTGCGGTAGAAGTGAAGTGTAGCCGAGAGCTGCCACGTCTTTGAGAAGACCAGGAATGGATGGCAACGCATCATATGTGTCGTGGACTGGCAGCGCTAGTGTGGATCGCAGTGTAGATGGCGTCAGGATTACGCGCATACCATTCAATTTGGTCTTGATTTTGGAGCGATCCTTTGCTGATTCTGTATGCATGTGGCCCAAAAATTGTTGGAGGTATATCTCTGGCACTGGTTTGGCGTTGTTGTAACACCCCGGGGGCCCACACGGACCCGAGGTAGTTACTCTAGACCTCTAGTACTGTCCCCACAAACCACCACGAGCCTTTACCGCGCACTTTGTCCTCACTCATGCGCGCCCTGAGAAACTTCCCAGGAGGTCACCCATCCCAAGACTACTCCCGTGCAAGCACGCTTAACTTTGGAGTTCTTGGGTGATGAGCTCCCTTAAAAGGAGATGCACCTCTGTTGGCATGAGTAGTACTATTAATCCTCTTAAATTAATCTCGGGTATTACAATCACCCCCACTTAGGATCGCAACGTCCTCGTTGCGCCCTTAAACCAATCTCAATAAAACCCCAGAATCTTGCCCCGCTAAGTGCCCACCCGATATCTAACGGGTCAGCACACTGTCGCAGGGTTGCTCTGATACCACCTGTAACACCCCGGGGGCCCACACGGACCCGAGGTAGTTACTCTAGACCTCTAGTACTGTCCCCACAAACCACCACGAGCCTTTACCGCGCACTTTGTCCTCACTCATGCGCGCCCTGAGAAACTTCCCAGGAGGTCACCCATCCCAAGACTACTCCCGTGCAAGCACGCTTAACTTTGGAGTTCTTGGGTGATGAGCTCCCTTAAAAGGAGATGCACCTCTGTTGGCATGAGTAGTACTATTAATCCTCTTAAATTAATCTCGGGTATTACAGTTGTGGAGTGCAGCCCAGAGATAGTGACCTTTCATTATGGCCGGAATGATCGGGTTCTGGCATTTGAAGACGGTGAGGTCTAGCTGGAAGTTGTTATCTAGCACCTTGATCCACTTGCCCTTCGGGTAGATGGCGTCGTCATTCTGAATTTGAGGTGTTCCTGCCATTATGAACTGTAAAAGCAGGGGGTCAGCATATTAATTCATTGGTTGATTGCTCTGAGATTAGATTGAAAACATTTTGGTGTTTGCAAATTTCAGACAATGGGTGCAGGTGGATTTTTGAAAAACATTGTAAGTCAAAGTCTCGAGATCCAAATCTCGAGATCCAAATCTCGAGATCAAGATTTCGAGATTCAAATCTCAAGATCAAGATTTTGAGATTCAAATCTCGAGATCTTGATTTCGAGATTCAAATCTCGAGATCTTGATTTCGAGATTCAAATCTCGAGATCTTGATTTCGAGATTCAAATCTCGAGATCAAGATGTCGAGATTCAAATCTCGAGATCAAGATTTCGAGATTCAAATCTCAAGATCACGATGTCGAGATTCAAATCTCGAGATCTCTCTCGAAGACGAATCAACGAACTCGAGATCTGGAGAACTGAATCTCGAGATCATAAATCTCGAAACGACGATTCCACCTGCAAATACATAAACAGTAGATATGAAAATGGATATTTTACACGATTTCGACCTCCAGAAGAAACTTAAAAACCCTTGTTCTTTTTGTTTTGATTTTTTTGACGAACGATTTCGAGAAGATGATTTCGTTTGATTTCGACCTCTAACGAGTTCGATGGAGAGAAGAAGGAGAGGTTCTGTGAAACCAAGGTTTTGTGTTAATCAACCTTCGTGAGTGATAATCGGATGGAGAGAAGAAGGATGGAGAAGACGAAAGAGTTTTTGGGAGCTCTGGTTTTGCGAAAACGGTTCCGTGCCTGGTTTGCGAAAATATTGTGAGAATGGGACGGAAGGGTTTTGCGAGGGTTTATATATGCGGGAAGGTTGGGCCTTAACAGTTGAGCATGAATTTATGGGCTAGCAAAGAATTTTTATTGGAAAGATTTTTGAGTCCCAAAGTCAGTAAAAATTAGAGCTCCCCCTCAAACAGGTTGAGCAACATAGACTTCTTCTTCTAAAGTCCCATTTAGAAAAGCTGTTTTCACGTCCATCTGAAAGACGGTGAAGTTTTTGTGCGCCGCGTACGCAAGAAAGAGGCGGATTGCTTCAATTCTAGCTACGGGCGCAAACGTTTCATCATAGTCTATGCTTTCCTGTTGATTATATCCCTTTGCGACCAGCCTTGCCTTGTTCCTTACAACTGTCCCTTCTTCATCCCTTTTATTTTTGAATATCCACTTCGTGCCAATGATAGTCTTTCTCTGAGGCTTGGGTACCAGTGACCATACATCCAGTCTGTCAAATTGATTGAGTTCATCTTGCATCACAATCACCCAATCTGGATCAAGTAGTGCATCGGAGACCTTTGATGGTTCTGACTGGCTTAGGAAGCAGGCGAAGTGGCATTCATTCATCGTTGCGGATCTTGTGCGCACACCTTGACTCGGATCACCTATTATCTGATCAACGGGATGTGCTTTCGTCCATTTCCTCTCATGAGCTAGAGGAGTTGGAGTGATGATTGGTTGATCCGAGTCCTGATAGGTGTTTGAGGGCTCTGGAGCAGGTGTGGTGTGTAGTGGAGATGATTCTGGACTTGTAGCAAAACCACGATCATCCACTCCTCTGTGATTGGATTGAGGGGTTGAAGGCGTGGATGGTACATCGCCTGGACCTGTGAGGAGCGGAATCTCTGCTGTTGGAGTTGATGTTGAAGCTGGTGTGCATGGAGGAGGTGAAGATTGTGAATTCTCGTAGAAGTTTCTGAAAAGAGAATTGAGAATCACATCTTCGTGTTCTGTGTTTGGATCAGCTTTATCAGAAGTTACTGGTATAGCATGTGATGGATCAGCCTGTAGATGTTCGATCGCGAAGTCTGCCATTTCATAGAATGTAACATTTACACTCTCGATGACAGTGCGCTTTTCTCTTAGATAGACTCTGTAAGCTTTGGACTGCAGTGAGTAGCCGATAAACACGCCTTCTCTGGCTTTGGGGTCCAACTTACTTCTTTCTGTCCGATCATTCAGTATGAAGCACTTGCAGCCAAAAATCTTGAAGAAAGAGATGTCAGGAGTTCTGTTGAAGAGAATTTCATACGGAGTCTTGTCGAAGCGTTTATGGATGGATGTTCTGTTCTGGGTGAAGCACGCAGTATTGATTGCCTCTACCCACATGAAGTGAGGCAGTCTGGATTGTAATAACATGGTGCGTGCTGCTTCAACAAGAGTCCTGTTCTTTCTCTCAACAACTCCGTTCTGTTGGGGAGTTTTAGCTGCTGCAAATTGCTGAGTGATACCGAGAGATTCATAGAAATCAGTGAGAGTTTGATTTTTGAACTCGGTACCATTGTCAGTTCTTACTATTTGAACACTGTGCTGTAGCAGTTTCTGGATGGTCCTGATAAAGGTCATAATGTTTTCTGCTGCCTCGTTCTTTGAGCGGAGAAATTTTGTCCATGTGTACATAGAGAAGTCATCAACGATCACCAGAGTGTATTTGCGTCCGTTGATGCTTTGGAATCTCATAGGTCCACACAGATCCATGTGAATTAACTGCAGCTGGTGAGTAGATGATGGTACTGTTTTTGACTTGTGGGAGCTTTGCGTAATTTTGCCCATTTTGCAGGCACTACAATGATTTTCAGCGGAAGACTTTAACAGAGGAACCCCTTGACAAGTTTCTTGGAGGACAGGATTGATAGATGCTTGAAGTTTAGATGGGAGAGACGTCTGTGCTAAAGTTTGTTTTGTTCTGTTGAAGCTTTGGACAGCAGACAGATGGAAGTGGTGGATTGTACGCTTTTCAGATCAATCGTGTACAGATTTGATGTTCTGTAGCACGTTAATAATGTATTCCCCATACTGTCTAGAACACAGCATTGTCTTGCAAAGAACCTCACTTCCATCCCGCTGTCACAGAATTGCCCTATGCTCAGTAAGTTGTGTTTGAGCCCTTTGACAAAAGAAACATCTTTGATAGTGACACTGGCACAGATGACGTCCCCATATCCAAGAATAGGAGATGAGGCGTCATTCCCAAATCTGACATTGCCTCCGTAGCAGTTGGTGTAGTTGCTCAACAGGTGTTTTATTTCGGTCATGTGGGTTGAACATCCTGAATATAAGTGCCACACATGACCGTCCTGCAAAACAATTAAACAGGTTTAGGTACCCATCTTGGAGTGGGTCCTTCCTTATCAACAAAAAACACCTTTTTAAATCTTGCTTTTATCTGTGATCCAAGGTCAGCAGCTTTCTCAACAAAAGATCTTTCTCTTGTGGACTCTCTAATAGCCAGATCTGCTTTTGCAGTGGGTCTGGTTTTTGGAGCCCACTTAGCAGTTTCCATTTTGGTGGGTCTGATTTTGTGAACCCACCTTTCCGTTTTGGTCTTGGTGGGTCTATTCATGGGAACCCACCTTTCTGTTTTAGTTTTGGTGGGTCTGATCTTGGGGACCCACCTTTCAGTTTTAGTTTTGGTGGGTCTGATCTTGGGGACCCACCTTTCAGCTTCAGTGTTGGTGGGTCTGTTTTTGGGGACCCACCTGTTATTCGTTGTGGGAGGAGAGTAGACACGTGCTTTGTGATTGAATGGTTGTTTCTTAAGTTAAGTTTTAAAAATTTCCTCCTTAGAAAGTCGATTAAGATGTTTCCTTGAATGAACTCGGAGGGGATATTTCATATCAGGTATACAAAATATTCCCTTAGAAGTTCTTTTCTCGGTTTCCCTTTTTGGTTTGAGCTTTCTGTGAGGCTTTGCTTTAACAACATTCACATCACATTCATAATTATGAGGGTCTGGAACAGAATAACCATAAGCAATACTCGAATTATGAATTGAACGAAGACCAAAAGATGTCTCAGAAATATTCAGCTTGGGACTCAAGACTGAACTTCTAGGAGTTTGTTTCTCAGAGACAGAATTACAATTAACTTTAGAATAAAAAATAAAACTGGATCTAGAGTTGGCTTTATTTTCAAAACCTTTCTTTTTGCCTTCAGCGATTTCCTCCCTCTTCTTCCTCCACTCGTTCTTCTCTTCTCCTTCCTTCTTCACTTCTTTACCTGTAAGCGAAGGAGAAGAGTGATGAGTGGACGAACTTTTTGAAAGCTTAGTTTTCTCAGACTTGTTATTAGAAGCGGGTTGAGAGGTTGTTTTAGCATGATATTGCTCACTTAATTCATTGAATTTTTGAAGAAGTTCCTGCCAGTTACTCTCAAAACCTCTCTTTTCTGTTTCAAATCTCTCTCTCTCTCGTTGTCAAGAGTTTTCTGGAGGTTTTTGAGTTTTTGTGCCATAGGAAAAATACATGGTTCCTCTCCAATTTTAGAGATACCTACTCTTGGGGGTGGTTCTAGAGGATGTCCTATGTGTGGAATATCTTTTGCATAAGGGTCAAGACATTCACTAAAGCAGGAACTTGGTTTTTCTTGTGAGAGTTGTTTTTCATTAACAGAAGGATAATCACAAGAAATCACAGCTTTAGGGTTCTTTCTCTTATCTTCTTCTGCTTTTGCGTTTTCTTCATCACTTGTAAAATACATTTTCTCACCAAACCCTAATCCCATGTAATCTTTGTTATAAATCTGAAGACAGTTAACTTTCTTTAGATTACATGGGTTGGTTATGCCCAATCCTGTTCTAGGATTGTAGAACCGGTCATCCTTTATTTGATTTAGAAAAATCGTCTGTTCAGATTGACCTCTCCTAACAGCTAGATCCTCTAGTTCTTTTATTTTGTTTAAAAGTGTTCTTCTTTTATTATGCAAAAAATCGCATTCAGCCTTTGCTGTGCTTTTCTCTCGTTCACTGTCCTCAAATTTCTTAGTTAATTCAACTATCTTTAGTTCAAAACTTTCAAAATCTGAGGACACCTTTTTGACCTGTTCTTTCGCAATTTCAAGTTGAACACTTAGAGAAGACTTTTGGTCTAGATTCTGTTTCAGTACCCTGTGATTATTGTCTAGTCTCTCCTTTAGTTCTTTAATTAGATTGTCCTTCTCAAGTAAGGACTGATTTTGATTATTTAAAGGGAGATAAGAGGTACTTACAGAGCTTGTTGAGCATTCACTTTCGGGGATCGCAGCATCACCCTTTCTTTCATCTTCTTCCTCCACTCGTGCCATCAAGGCATAGTTTTCTTCCTCCTCCTCATCAGAAGTGTCTTCTGCCCAGTGATCATTCTCAGCAAGCACTGCAGAATTTTCTTCTTCTTTCTGCACCATCAGCATCTTCTGCTTATTCCACAGCATCTTCTGCTTGTAGAAGTTTGCATCCCTCTTCTTTGGGAGGCGGCAGTCTTTGATGACATGTCCAGCCTTTCCACAGTTATAGCATTTGGGGGCATCTTCAGCTGATGGTGCCTTCATAGAAGATCCTTGATCATGGTTCTTCTGTTTGTAGTTTGAGGAGGAGGTTCTCAGCTTGTTGGAGGAGCTATTCTTCTTTGCAAATCTCTTGGCAAGCAGTGCCATTTTCTTTTGTAAGTCTGCAAGCTCAGCCTCCATATCAGATTTGTCATCATCACTCTCATCTTCATCTGATTCAACCACCACCTTCTTCTTCTTCTTTTTCAGTGGTGTGGTTGTCCTTCGGGGCTGAGCTTCCATCACTAGAGCCAGGGCATTTGAGCAGTGTTGATCCTCGACACAAGCAACCTCATTGACAAATTGCTTTAAATGTTCATAAAGAGTGCAGAGATCAATTTCATCCAAGTCAATGCGTGATCTAACATCCTTCAATGTCTTTTCCCATGCTGGATGTAAGCTGGATAGAAATCTTATATTCAGTTCCAAGTTGGACCTGAATACTTTGATTTTCCTTAGTTCATTGACCAGTTGGACGAGTCTGTTGTAAGTCTCGTTCAAAGGTTCTCCCTGTGCAGCTTTGAAGGAGTCATAGGCAATAAGGATTGTTGTCTTCTTGGTTTTAAGGCTGATGCTTGTGTCTTGGAGCAGTTTCTCGATCTCATCCCACATTTCCTTTGCCGTTTGCATGCTGTCGATGAGCACATATACTTCGTTTGGGATTGCTTGAAGGAGGTACGTCTTGGCCATGAGATCACCTCGAAGCCTGAGCTTGTCAGCTTCGGTATATTCGGACGCCACTTTTACGTCTCCTTTCGGGAGGAATAGGTGGGTTGTTTTCTGGATCTCCTCCAACTGAAATCATCAGTTCAGCTGGTCCTTCAAGCAACGATTCAAGCATTGCAGCGGAGTTTTCTTTGTGCTCAAGGAAATTAAGGAATCAATTCCTCCGCATCTGGTATTCTCCTTTCCTAAGACTGGGAGGAGTACTGCTGTTCCCTTGAGCATTGAATTCTGAGGCCATTGCTGTATAAAACTGACCGTTCGAGATAATTGATCAAAAGATTTTTAAAGGCAGAATGTCAAAATTTAGATGTCGAGATCTGAATATCGAGATCCAAGATTTCGATAAAGGAGGCCCGGTTTCGAGATTTGATATCGAGATTAGGATGTCGAGTTTTGAAATCTCGAGATTTCAAATGTCGAGAAGTAAATCTCGAGATTTGAGATATCGAGAAGTGAAACTCGAAATATTATTTCGAGAAGTCAAATGTCGAGACCAGAAGTCGAGACCTTAAAATCGAAACCTCGATCTCGAGATTTGGATGTCGAGATCCTCAATGTCGAAATCTTGCAAACTGTAAAAATCAGATAAGCAAATTCTGAAGGTAGTTTCTTGTAGAGTATGATGTCGAGATCCTTAGGTGAAGTTTTCAGCTCGAAATACTTGGCAAAACCTGTTCAAATCCTAGATGTCGACATATGGTTCTCGAAATATCTCAAGTACAAAAATTGCAGAAAAAGAAATCTGAAGTATACCCCTTGATCGCATCGAAACGACGATTCTAAGGGTGTAACTTTTACAACTTTTCAACAAGAAACAAGATTACAGACAAAGAACTCGACAGAAAAAACAACGTAAAGAAAAACAGAGGTTTTCTGCAGGCGTTCTTCTAATCAGCTCTCGATGGCTCTGATACCAATTGATAGACCCTGTTTTCTATTACATCAATATGAATAACAGTATAACAAGAAGAAGATTAACAGTAAAGATGAACACAGATGAATCGATGTAAACCCTCCTTGATATACGTTGAACTCGTACAGAGAAGTATTTGCGCTAAGGCTATTTTGAGCGTGTACGAAAGTTAACCTAGACCTGAATCCTCGGCTCCCTTTTATAGGCGAGGTTCAGGTATGCGTATAAGGCTTTTAGCCTTTTGTATGGGCCTAACACTTGGCCCATATTATATACCTAATAAATGCACATAATTAATACAAGGAATAATAATAAAGCTAATCTATTACAAGATAGGTGACAAACTTGATTCACAATTAAATGATCTTCAAAAGTCAAAGACTCAGAGATAATCCGCACTTCATCAACATTTGAACACAAAGGGGGGGAATGTTAGAATATTATTTTATTGTGTTCAAATAATTGTAATTTAATTATTGAGTCTTTGTATTTAATTAGTTTAGCTGAGAGAGAATTAGGCCCATTTAATCTAGCTCTAATTAAGCCCACACGCCTAAAGCTGTTGTTTCCTTATTGTAATAGGGCTGGCCGAACCACTCCCTATAAATACAGAAGGAGTTGGTCGAAATCAGCTCTAAGCCTCTACACATTCTGTTTCTGCATATTATTCTCTGTAGAGCCAGTAGAATAGAAATTCTCTCTCAAGCTTATTTGTTCAAGTACTGTGTAATTGTTCTTCATGGATTCATCATTATATATACACGGTATACATTATTGGTGAGATTTCTCTTTTACTATTTAAATTCTTCATATTATTCATAGATTAATCGACTGTTGAAATCTGAGCATATCTCGCACACAATATAATGTGGTGGCCGATGAACGGAGCAAGAAGAGTACGTCAGGGACGTTACTCACATGCCTACAGGCATTGAGGGGGGCACATTGAGGTGACCATGAGCGGGGCCCTCATAGTGAGATTCGAGGTTAGACCTACTTTGCTTGATGAAATCAGCAGATGTCAGATAATTGACGAAGAATGTCAGAAGATCCGTGAACGGAACCTCATAGGGTCCGTTGAGGATTTCCGGGTATGTGAAGATGGTCTCTTATTGGTTAGAGATCGTGTATGTATATCGAAGAATGAAGAGCTCCAAAAGTCCATACTAGAAGAGGCTCATTCTTCGGCCTATGCTATGCATCCAGGAGGTACAAAGATGTACTGAGACCTGAAGGAAACCTATTGGTGGTCAGTTATGAGGACAGACATCACAGTGTATGTGAGTCGATGCCTTACTTGTCAGCAAGTTAAGGCGGAGCATCCGCACCCGACAGGGCTTTTGCTGCCACTTACCACTCTAGAATGGAAGTGGGAACATGTGACCAAGGACTTTGTGGTAGGATTACCACGAACTATGAACAATTACGATGCCGTAGGAGTGGAGGTTAATAGGCTTACTAAGAGTGCACACTTCTTGCCTATGAACATCACATATCCTCTTGAAAGATTGGCCAAGTAATACACTGAAGAGATTGTGAGTGCATAGAGTCCCGATATTCATTGTGTCGGATAGAGATCCACGATTCACATCTAGATTTTGGCCAAAAATTTCAAGCATCTTTGGGAACTAAACTGAAGTTTAGCACAACATTTCACCCACAGGCGGATGGAAAACCCAAGAGAGTGATACAGATTTTGGAAGACATGCTCAGGGCATGTGCTTTGGAGTTCCAAGGTAGTTGGGACAAACATTTGGCTCTAGTAGTGTTTGCCTATGACAACATTTATCATGCAAGTATTGGCATGCCTCCATACATGGCATTGTATGGGAGGAAATGCAGGACACCATTGTGTTGGGACGAGGTTGGCAAGGTCATGCTCGAGGGCATAGAACTTGTTGAGATCACCAAGGCTAAGGTGAAGATCATTCGGGATAGACTTAAGCCTGCCCAAGATCAACAGAAGAGTTATGCCGATAAAAGATGTAGACCATTAGAGTTTGAAGTCAGTGATGAGGTGTTTCTAAAGATTTCTCCTTGGAAAGGCATCATCTGATTCATATCGAGGGGTTAGCTTAACCTTCGATACATTGGTCCGTTTGAGATCCTTGAAAGGATTGGAGCCGCGGCTTATCGGCTCAAGTTGACACCTGACCGTGAGAAGATATATACAGTATATGTGATATAGTTGAGATGAATATTTACTTGTTCTATCAACATAAAAAACTTAGTATGAAAAAAATTCATGAATATATACGGTATATGTGATATAGTTGAGATGAATATTTACTTTTTCTATCAACATAAAAACTTTAAATTACAAAAAAATAAAAGTTTATTATAGTTTTTAGTTGAGATGAATATTTACTTGTATATATACGGTATATTTTTAGTTTACATTGTTTATATATTACTAGTATGAAAAAAATTCATGAATATATACGGTATATGTGATATAGTTGAGATGAATATTTACTTGTTCTATCAACATAAAAACTTTAAATTACATAAAAATAAAAGTTTGTTATTAGTAATAATTAGTAAAACATATCATCACCCAATAAATTGTAACATACATACCTACATACATAAAAAATATAATAGATAAATATAGCTAGGGGTGGGTTCGGTTCTTGCGGTTCGGTTTTGACCTAAAACCAAATATAGAATCAAAGTAAAAAATTCGGTTCGGTTTCGGTTCGGTTCTAAACTCCAAAACTTGGAACCACAGTTTAATTGGTTTGGTTTGTTTGGATTCGGTTTTGGTTTTTTCGGTTTTTTACCAAAAAATTATCATTTGATTTAAAATTGATATAATACTTTGAGAGATCAAACATATATTACATAAAAAATGCAAGCACACTACAACAAATAAAATAAAAATGAAAATAAATAAATATGTCATGAATTATATGAGTATGTGAGAGAGATAAAAGTATATATTATTAATTTACATTGTTTGTGACTAGTTCAAAAAAGTTCATGAGTATATACGTTATATGTGATATAGTTGAGATAAATATTTATTGTTTCATCAATACGAATTCTTTAAGTTAAATAAAAATAAAAGTTAATTAATACTAATAACAAGTAAAAATATATTATGAGTATAGCTACATTATTACGTGCAATGAATGTGTAAATGAATTCACAAACTAAACTAAACATAACAAACATTATTTCTCTAGCACAAGAAAATCAAAAACTATTAATGATATTAGAATTAGTTAGGATTAATGCTTAACAATGGACAAATAAATTTTACTCCGCATATTTTAACTAGTTCGGTTTGTTCGGTTCGGTTCGGTTTTGAAGGGTAAAAACCAAAACCGAACCAAACAACTACGGTTCGGTTCGGTTTTTTACATTCGGTTTCGGTTTGTTAGTGGTTCGGTTTTATTTGGCTACGGTTCGGTATGATTTGATTCGGTTTTCGGTTTTCGATTTTTCGGACCCAACCCTAAATATAGCTTCTCCATATATTGTTATGGGTAAATGCATTTATGAACTAAACTAAACACAACACACAAAAAATTTTAGCACAAGAAAACCAAAGACTATCGATGATATTTCGATTAATTAGGATTAGTACTTAACAATTAACAAATAATAATTCCATATTTTAAGTAGTTCGGTTTATTCAGTTTGGTTCGATTTTGAAGTATAAAAACCAAAATCGAACGAAACAACTATGATTCAGTTTGGTTTTTAACATTCAGTTTTGGTTTTTTAATTTGCAGTGATTCGGTTTTTTAATTTTTAGTGATTCGGTTTTATAATTTTTAGTGATTCGGTTATATTTTAAGTACTCCCTCCGTTCCTAAATAAACTTCCAACTTTCCTTTTTCATCCGTTCCAATTAAAACTTTCACTTTCCCTTTTTAGTAAAAAATTTGTGGTTCACAACATTTCTTACACATTTCTCTCTCCTCTGCACAACTCTCCACCACACAATACCCACTATCTTAAACTCTGTGCCAAATCTATTTGGAAGTTTTAATAGGAACGAAAGTAGTACTTGTTTTTAAGATAGGAAAACATGTCACAAGAGCGGATGCATGGCGGGGTATGACGAACGGCGGAGAAGAGTCCTTAGCTTCTAGAAGCCGTGGAAAAAACACAAAGTAGTGGTAAAATACGATTTTGGCCCCTTTCAGATCTGGAGTCCTATACTGAATTACTGATGACTGAATTACTGATGACAGGTCTATTCGGAAGGTGTAAATGTTGGTGGGAAACGTGTACAACTAACCCCATTGTTGTCTTTTCACACATGGGGCTGCATTTCCCATTGCATCCCATTAATTTATCGCCGTACGGGTTTCTCTTTTCAATAATTGAGAATTGAGATGTTCTAGAGCATTGGTGGACTTATCATCAACCAGGCAATTAGCACCAAAAGTTGAATTATTCCTGAATAATCAAAATGTAGGATTATTGTAAGAAAATCGTTAAAAAGTTAGATTATTAATTTACATTTTCTCTTAAAAATATACACCGTACTATAGATTTCGAACAAAAGTTGGACACTTGTTAAATACTACCTCCGTTCCTATTATATCTTCTAAATAGGTTTGACACATAATTTAAGATAGTGGGTATTGTGTGGTGGATAGTTGTGCAGAGGAGAGAGAAATGTGTAAGAAATGTTGTGAACCACAAATTCTTTACTAAAAAAGGAAAGTGGAAGTTTTATATGGAACGAACAAAAGAGGAAAGTTGAAAGTTTTAATAGGAACGGAGGGAGTAAACATTTTTTTGTGTCCTTGTGAATTCATAAAGAATAAAAAAGAGGTATTTACCCAAATGACAGTAAATCAATATTTAATTGCTAAAAATAGGAATAAAATCTAAAAATTCCCTTAATAGGAGTTATTATTTGTATTTGGACAAATATATCCTTGAAGCTTGGTAACCACATACCCAATGACGGACCGATGCTTGCCTGCCGTCGCCGCTTGCCGGCCTTCGCTGATCGCCGGCTGCTTCTCGCCGGCCGCCGATCGCCAGCCGCCGCTGCTCGCAAACTGCCGCCAAGGTCTTAAAATTGTCCACCGTTGCAGATGCGGATTTGGTCATCGGATCCATAGATCTGGCCGCCTCCAGTCGTCGACTTCTCAAATCCGGCCGTCGGCGCTGCAGATCCGGCCTCCGTTGGTGTAGATCCATCCTCCGCCGCCTCATCTCTGGCCACTGCCGCCACTGTTGTCAACATTTTTTCAGAATGTCAAAGTGAGTCAAGAATGCCATTTTAATGGCATTTTAAAGGGAATTACAAAAAATTTTGAAGAGTAAGAATGCCATTTTGATGGCATTTTCAGAATTTTTTTTGGCAAATTTAGCAGAAATCGACCAAGCATCGGACCTGCGACAAAAACAAAAGGGGAAGAGAAAAATATAATTTTTTCTGTAGAATAAGAATATCATTTTTATGATATTTTCAGAGTTGAACTTGGCATTTCTGCAACAAATATAGTTGGGGAAGAGAGAATGAAGAGAGAAGAACAATTAGAGAAAAGAACCAGACCTTCGAAAAAGAGAAGAAGACCTTCGGCGGCGACGGCGGTGGACCGCGGCGGACTTCACATCAGCGACGACGACGGACCGCGGCGGACTTCGCATCAGCGATGGTTGTTGTGCGAAGGGGAAGAAGAGATCTACATGGAAGGAGAAAGATATGTGTGGGGAGGGAAGAAAATGGTGCGCAGGGTGGGGGGGAAGAAAAAGGTGCGCAGGGGAAGAAAAAGATGCGCATGGAAGGGGAAAAAGGGTAAATTTGTCATTAGGTCCTATTTTAGGGTAAAAATTATGTATGATCCTATTTAGGAATTTGAGTAATAATTTAGTCCCATTTAGGGTAATAAATCAATAAAAAAATATAGATGTATACACAATTTAAGTTTACAATTTAAGTTGAAGAAAAAGAAGAGCAAAATCGTGATGGGATTCTCACTAATCTAATGACGAAAAAGAAGATAATTATATAAGGAAAGAAAAATAAGGAAAAAGAAATTTGAGAAATCGGCTGGAGAGATGATCGAGTAAGATGGTGTTCGAAATTGATTCTGATTCTCATTTTTAAAAGTAGATGTAGAATCAAAATCAGTTTTTCAAAAGTTGGTGCCCCAACTTCTAAAAGCTTTTTATAGAAGCAAATCGGAGCACCTAGAAACACTTATGCACTTTCACATAGATTCTTTCATATATATTTTTGCTCATAAAGAACAGAAGCAATTTTAATAAGTACTATCCTCTGTTCTTTAATTGTTGCAACTCTTTGACTTTCACGTTTGTCAACACATAATTTTGACTGTCATTATATTTAATTATGTATTAGTAAACATTATAAAAGTTGATATTTTAGAAATTCACATTGATAGGAATTCAATAACATTGTATACGAAATAATTGATTATGTACATAGTATATTAGTGGAAAATCGTGATCAAAGTAATGTCTGTGAATAGTGCAAAAATAATAATGTTACAAGAATTAAAGAACTTGAACAAGTCCATTCAAGCTACTCCTAAACAAGCAAAGGAGATGAATAAGATTAATTTATTACCAGTTCATTTTATAAAAAAAGCAGAAACTAATTTTATAAGAAAAGCTACTCCGTATAAGAAATGACGCGGGTTTGAGAAAATTAGGCCCATCCCACGTTGTAGTTTGCTGGTCAAAATTGTGTTCGGGTGAATTGGGAAACATGTGCACGTCGGATTTGAGGCTCCCGACAATCCGTGGTCCCGACTCTTGACCCATCAAACTGTGTTTTTCCTTCTTCTATTTTTCCCTCTTCTATTTCAAACTGTGTTAACTCTTGTTATTCATGTTGGGTTATGAAAAGACAACTACTTTTATCCTATATTTTGTCTGTTTATTACTCGTAAGAAATAAGCAGTGTCTAATCACATACAACTGCTCCCAATCTGATTTATTCATTTTGTCTGTGCTTTTTTTTTGCATTTCTAGTCGCAGATCACAAAATTCTGATTCTTTCATGATATTTCAGTTCCAAGTAAAACCAAAACAGTATCACCCATCAGACATTGGGCTCCAATACACTACCTTAGCCCATCTCCAACAGTTAATATCATTTTTACACTAAAATGGTGTAAACATCACATCAAACAGTATTTTATCTTCAACAGTTTACACCATTTTCATCACCAAAAAGGAATATTCTCTTTTTATTCTTTTTACTAACTTTTTACCATTATTCTATTTAAGTATCTAACTATCTTATATTTATACATTAGCCCCTCATTTAATATTTTGACATTTCACACATTATTTCACACATACAAACTAAAATACATCAATTTAATATGTATTTTCACGCATTTCACTAATTAAAACACAATAATCAATATTTCACAAATACAAGCTAAAACCACATAAAATTAAACATTACTCAATAATATTATATTTTTTTATCAAATTAATTGTTTTTATTGTTGTTGTATAAAGATGTTTTTACTTTGACTGTAATTTGTTTCAGATCAGATCAGATTGGATTCGACCAAACTTGGGTGGTTATAAAAATACAAAGAAATCAGACCAATCCACATCAATTCAGTCCAGACCAGATCAAATCAGACCGGACCAACAAATTTCAGTCCAAGTAAAACTTCCTAGTTTGTTGTTTTAAAAATGGGTCAAAACTATATGAATCAAAACTTTGGGTCACATTTGAAAGAAAAAAATTACAAAAAGAGAATGGTGCTAGAATGGCGTACGCCATATATAGCTTAAAGCCTTCCCCCCTCCCCCATTTTAGTGTAATGGTGTAAAGTTTAGTGTCATTGTTGGAGCATTTTTTTTGCCAAATACATCATTTTGATGTTGAAGATGGTGCTTGTTGGAGACGACCTTAAGACCAACTATTCCCTCCGTCCCTATATAAATGCCCGCATTCATTTTGTTTGCACACACTTTAAGAATGTGGAATTGATTGTTATGTTTGAATAGTGTTTGTTTCTTTTTTTGACTGTTTTATTTATAAAAAAGGGAAATAGCACTTTTATTTAGGGATGACTTAAAAGGAAAGAAGTGTTTTTATTTAGGGAGGTAGGGAGTACTGTTTTTAGAACAGTGAATTCAGAAATTAGGGTTTGTTCGAAATTTAGATGTACTCGTAATAAATTTAAAAACGTGCTAAAAATAAAGATATCAACTTGGAACAACAGAAGTAGTATTATTATCGCAAAAAAGGATGGATGGATGAAAAATTGAAGAGCTACACATTCCTTTCTATCATATCATAGTTGTAGCTTTTATTTTCTTAAGGAATAGAGACAAAAAGGGACGTGGGAAGGGAACACTATCGTTAAATCCAAAAAGGCTTCTATCATCAGTTCATCACACAGACACACAGTTGTGAACTTCGGTTTATATATCGTATAAAAGTTTCTTGAAGAGTGGCAAATGTTCAGCATCCAAACACACAGCTAAGGTCAATGTCCTGTCCTTGTTCGGGCTGGGCAATATGTACACCGTCCCCTCGTACAAAATGCAGGCGGGTCCCATGTGGACCGGTCTTCCCCAACCGAAGTCGGACTCGTGAACGGGCAACCTAGTCCAGCTGTTGATGTTTAGGTTGGGACTTGCAAAGTAGGTTGAGCCGCGCACGAGTTTGGACAAATCCTTTTGGCATTCCAGGAAGTCGAGGGCCGACCTCAGGTACCTATCGTCCATCCTAGCCAACGCCGAGTGGATTCTCTTCGCTGAGTTTGTGAGCGGTTCGGTTTGGAGACTTCCCGATTCGGCCATTGGTGTAGCCGTGAACACCACATTACCTAAATAGCCCGGTGGAAGAGGAGGGCAAAGGCGGGACCGCCCATCAGTGGCAACATAGAGCTTTGTTAGTTGGTCACTGGGCAGCCCGCGGGCCTTGCACACACACCGCCATATGTGGGCTGCAAGGATCTCATATGTGCTACCCTCATGTTTGGATTTACTCTTGAGATGGACAAGTTGGTCTTGGGTGATTTTGAGCATGGCAGTGTTGGCGTTAGGGCCGCTTTTGGCTTCAGGGAATGACAGGAGCTTGGGAGGGTGGTCATACTCGCTGTGCGCAAACGCTGGGGTCGGAGGGTCCCTAGCACGAAGGAGGGTGCGGTCAATGAATGGTGGGACTGCAACAGCGAGGCCACGAGCCACGTCTGACCAGGTGTTGATGAAATGGAGGGAGGATACTCCATCAGACAGCGTGTGAAACGCCCCCGTTCCGAGACACACTCCACCACACTTGAATCGTGTTACCTATGTACCGGGAAAACATCAATAAGTTAAGATACAGATGCCAAAGCAAATTTTTAGAAAAACCAAGAAGAATGCAAGTGGAAAGTTGACCAGAGAATTCATATACTACTTATATTTTACATTCCATAATCCTCTATTCCTAAAGCATATTCCAATATATTATGCTCCAGTGAAATGGAAATCCTGAATAAAAATATGGTTGAGGCTTGTTGAGGAATTTTTTCCTAAATCAATTGAAGACATTCCAAATAAAAATCAACAATGATCTACTGGAAAAGGCCAAAGAAAATTCATCAATTCTTGTAGACTCATATCCTACATCCAGATAGTGATAGAGACAACAAAATACATTTGTAATGAATAGATTACAGATATTGTGTCAGCCATAATATGATTACTGTATACCACAAGTGGGATGATATTTGAAATCATTAATATGATAGCTTGGTTGTCTTATGTTTGATCCTCATGTTCCTCTCAATATATGGCACTTATTTTCCCCACAAACCTGCTTTCTTTCATATCATCAAGTGGAGGTCATTAAGAGTGTAATAATGGTTAGGGCTGATCTAAGCAGAACTAGGCTAGAGAGATTTTAATACAAATGTCAAGTATCAACTTTCCTTTATTCCCTATACATTTGTGGCCCACTACTCAACAACTGCATATGCTATTAATTTATAACAATCCACATCATAACTACTAACTAGAAAATTGCAAATAATATGGTATGTACATTTTGTAGTAATAACACCCAATATAACCACTCAGAAATGTTTGGTATATACACTTATTAGAGAGCCACAACTACATATCTAGTTTGAAATAGATACGGAATAAAAATTTTGATCATGATAAATGACACACTGTTTTGGTAGCTTTTCATTAAATTGAGACTAATAAAAATAGTTATAGTATCTTAATAGTTTTACTTTTATTTTTTCACTAACCAGCCTTAGGTTGTAAAATAATTTACTTATTTGAAAAAATAGTTATAGTATCTTAAATTTTGTAGTGTTACTTTTATTTGAAAAAAATGCCTATTTTTCAATAATTTATTTAACTAACTTATAGAATGAATTTTATACTGAAATTTTGTGGAAATAATCTACAATTCCACTTGGAATTGTAAACTCATAAATTTTCATTTTAAAAAAACACTCGGAAGCACCTCAAACAATTACACCCCAAAAAAACCATAGTACTCCGTATTAGTTTAGGCTTGAAAAATCAGCCTACTCACCTTTATTATAAAGAACTAATCCTGGAGCATTATTGTTAACATGCTTGGAAATAGTTCTCAACCGACACAAAGTGACTTCTGCTTTTTACTTGTCAACTTTTTACTTGTCAACAAACTTTTTAGCTATACAGCTTAAAAAAATACTCCGTACCTTTTTACTTATTTTTTTGATAAATTTTTCCTTATTTAATTGCTAAAATATACTCCGTATTTCCTTGTTTGCTGCATTGTTTCCGAGAAAAGCAATCAAGATAATGAACAATGTAGAACAAATTATGAGAGGTGGAATAATATGAAAAATAATACTCATACGAAAGACAAGATAAAAAGTAGAAAATATAGTAAAATACATCCCAAAACGGAGTAAAATATAGTAAGAAAATTCGAAAGGAATATTTTCCATATAATTTTTTTCTTAATCCAATAGGTCTGGAAAATTCAATCAATTTGAGTGAGAATTTCAAAAATTTCTAAAAGATTACCCCAAATTTATTGAAAAAGTACATTTGTACACAAAATTAGTACACAAATTATCCGAAAGTACATTAATACACCCTATTATCCGAAAGTACATTAATCACACGAGTTCTCTCGAAGAAAAATTGTCCGCTAATTATCTGTGCAGGTATAATTTGTGTACAAATTTTGTGTTAACACCAATTTCACATTTTTTAAAAGTTAATGAAGGGTCTATTAATTACGTAGTACTTCGTAGTTTTTGTTGATGGTGTGACCCTTGAGCCCCAATTTATGATAACAGAAGTCGGAATATTTTTTCTGGGTGAAATCTTTCCCCTTTTTGAAGAAATCTTCCCATCCACGTTTGGGAACATTAACCTTCTAGAGAGAGTTTGAATGAAATTCTTCATACTATGGTTAGTGAAAAAACCTGAAATAGTACTCTGTCTGAAATAGAAGAGCTAGAAACAAATTAATGGTGGTCATGCAGATCAAAAGGAAAACCTGCTGCAAACAATGTTCAAAAGGTGGGGTTTTTCAAGCGTTTTTCACAATTCAACAAATAAATCGATTCAGTTAAATCAATCATTCCAATAAATTTAACAAAATGAAGCAAAGGGTACCTGGAAAATGACAAGTGGGAAAGAAGAGATATCCCCAGAAGTATCAACAGACGGAATGAACTTTCTAAGCTCCAAACTAGGAACAAAGTCACCAAAGTCATCAATGGAGGCGTCACTTTCAGCCTCGACAAACAGAGCCCCTTCACCATTACAGTCAATCTCTAGCCTCCCTTCCTCATCCCTAGCCAGCCTCCCAGCCATGGGGTAAAATGAGACCAAAACATTGCTGAGAGCCTCCTTCATCACCTTTGAATCAAAGAAATTTGGGGACCCGTTTGGCTTGTAGAAATACACAGTCAACAAATGGATTCTGCCCACTATCAAATCCAGGTTGGAGTTCCACAGCCTCTTTGCTGGTGTGGGTTTTGCTGGTTTGACCATTGTTGAGTCCTTCAGGATAACCTTCAGCTTCTCACCTGCCATTTTTGGGCAAATTTCTGGGTCAAGATTCAAGATTTAGCTATGGAAGATGCCGACTAGGGAGTTATTTTGGGGTTGGAGGGGAGATAAACGCAGAAGATATGGGTTGAGAGGATCAAGTGGGTGGGCCTGGTAAACAAGCTATCACTTTGCCTGCCAGAGACGGGGGAGAATTTGTGTGATATGCGGAGTAATAGTCTTTTTGGTATACGATAAATATTGAGTTTGTGATGAATATTTATAGAACAGGTCAATAGGATATGCTACTGCCTTAGATCGGTTTCATATTACAAATTTCATTAAATATCCTTATCATGGAAATCGTACGGAGTAAGAAATTGCATTATTATTACATTAGGATTAGTTTTAGGATGTTTTTACTTGGACCGTAATTCGTCCCAGACCAGACCAGAGCAGATCAGTTCAGAGCAGATCAGTTCAGACCAGATCAGACCAGACTTGGATAGTTATAAAAATACAAAGAAACCAGACCAGACCAGATCAGACCAGACCAGCAAATTACAGTCCAAGTATTGTGTGGTGGAGAGTTGTGTAGAGGAGAGAGAAATGTGTAAGAAATGTTGTGAATCACAAATTCTTTATTAAAAAAAGGAAAGTGGAAGTTTTAATTGAAAGGGACAAAAAAAGAAAGTTGGAAGTTTATTTAGGAACGGAGAGAGTATGAAATTTTGTTTTAACACCAATATCCCTAAGTGAAGTACATACATAAAAGTTTATTTATAATGTAAAAACGTTTGATAGTGAATCAACCTATCTAAAAGTTTGAAAACCTAAAATGAAAACTTAAAATAGGATTTAAAAATAATATTTGAGTTAAACATAAACCATCATGCGGGGATATTGGATTAGAAATAGATATAAATCTTTAACTCCGGATGTATTGACCCAACATGTAATCATTAACATTATCACCCTCATTTATGGTTTGAGCGAGAATAGTCAAGGAATAAAGATTAGAAATTGGACCGCTCTGAGTTATGAAATTGGGATAAATAGCTTCAAAAATAGATCCAACACGATCGGACGTCATTGGAGCAATCATATCACCACTATATCAATATGGCGCCCTCCCCCATCTTTAAAAGCACCATCCCCCATCTTTAAAATCTAGTGCGCAACAGATTAGATAGTTGGTCAATCTGACTCACTGGTCATCTTTGTGAGCCTCATGATTTTAGTAGTCTTAGTACGCTATAGTATGACCATATAAATGAGTTGTTCAGTGTTGCGCACACACTGTCTTGTCTCGTGCATTTCGGAATCACAAGAAGTATCTACCTAAAGTCACCACCAACTACATTCTTCTCACCAAAAGGCAAGTTTGCATCACAAGCTGGAATAGCGAAGGACATCTCTCATACTTCGATCAAGAGATTTCAAACAGTGTTGGTGTGTCGTCGATGTCTCATCCCATATAATCAATTTGTATAACAAAATTAGTTTAGCCAATGAACTGAAATGTTTTATGTTGCATGTGGAGTGTCGAGTCTTCTGTCAAACTAAGTGGAATCGCAGATATCAAATGTGCAATCCTTCCCCCAGGCAAGAGAAACGATGATATACCACTCAAAGCCACGTTAAACACTATATCACCACGAGATCTCATTGTTGCAGACAAAGTTCTCCATAAACATGTTTTCCCAATTCATCCATGGTTATAAGCCCCCGTTTCTAGGATCTACAAATTCCATGACTCTGTTATACACCACACGTTCACGTGTCATTTTGGCCAAGGCCAACAACTTTGTATGTTTCATCATCAAATTTAATTTGTTATATTGCAACTCTTAATGAATTAGCACATCTTCAAGCGAGGGATGTCGTCATTAGGTAGCAATGGTATGTCAGCCAAGTCACGGGACTGCAAGAGATTTTGAATCTCTAACAAAAAAATACTTTTAAATTTCCCCTTAATCAAGTTCAAAAAGAAGACTAAACATTTCCATTAGTACAAATATATAAGTGTGGTGTTACAAAAGTTCCAAGAGCAATGCAAGTAAACATCTTAGTAGGATAAAAGGATTAAACCGATAAATAATACACACTACAATTGATAGTCCCAATATCATCCAACACTCATACAAACAATGTATCGAGTACAGAAGAAACGATGATCCGATTCAATACCAAAAAAAGATTTCGAATTACACAATAGGGTATTGAGAAGTGAATATGCAGCTCTCTCTTACTCTAGAATAATATGTGCATTAAAGGCTTAGGGTTTTCTTAAGTTAGTATCCTTTTATACATAAGAATGACTAACTTAAGGCTTACATGTGGGCTAATGGGCTGAAATACATTTGTGGCCCATATTACACATTTAATTAATAACCACACAAATACAAAGATATTTAAATAGATTGGACAACATAAAATATTCCCAACACTCCCCCTTGGTGTTCAATCGTGTTGAATCAGCATTGCAGCGCAGATATCTTTGTCTTTGTTGTTATTCAGCTTCCTTTGTCTTTGAACTTGACTTCTTAAGAAGGCTTTCTAAAGAAATATTTGCAATCTCCCCTTTGATGTGTTTTTGGCAATTTGTTCTTTGATGTCGGGGGTTGAGAAATCTTCAGTATCTTGCATCTAGTCTTTACCTTTCAGAAGTTGCTCTTGATCAGCTTGGATGAAGTCCAGTGGCGCCTCTAGAATGAATGTTCTTGAAGAATTGCAGACGCACATGGGATTCATCTTCAGTATACGAGTATCTGACCCATGTCTCCTCCACAATGTAGTCTTTTTTACTATTTGAGGTGAATGCTTTTGAGGAGAACTTGTCGGTGGCACAACGGAAAATAATGATCCACTTGTGAGCGTAGCTGACCATTTGATTCGAAGCTGGTTGGTGTAGAGATATAATAGGATTTGTTGGAGGAGGCAAGTGTTTCAGAATGATTTGTTGAGAGTTAACAGCATGTGGACCACTCTCCCCCTCATGACGATCCAATAAATAGGGGTGTCATGCCTTTATTTATTCTTTATTCTGCAAAATAAAACTAAAGTCCAAAAACATTGAGGTGTTCCGTTATCACAGTATCAATGTAAATACTGATATGTGGCATGAATAAAATGATAGAAGCATTATAGCTCTGACAGGACTTCCGACCGATCATCGTGAGGCATCAGAAGTAGATGTCACTCTGGTCGTTATGGCATGATCACAAGGATATGCAAAGAAAAACTTGTAGCCCCCGGGGTCGCGTAGACACCCGTTATCATTACTATAGAGATGAACTCTTTAGGAATGACCTGAAAATGTTGGTGATTTCTATGCTGCAACATCAGGACTTCCATCCAATCATCGGTCTACATCCATAATAGATGAGTCCTATGGAAGTTCTCGCAGGTCTTGAAGACCAGCAACTGACTCTAAAATGTGTCTGTGTCCTAGAAAAATAAAAACATTTGGGAGTGTGAAAACTAGACACGACGTGGTCAATGAAAGTCTAGTGGCATGGGACTGTGGGCCACTGTAGTTAGTATCAGTCGCCTCAGAAGGAGACAGTGATAAATAATGAGGTTCCCCATGAAATTTTGATGAAACACTTCTCTTTTGGGAAATAGATGAGTGGTCTAGGGTAGGGTTGTGCATGCGCTGTTGGACAAGATGTAACGACTTATACCCGGGATCTGAATAAATTCAGTCCTGTACCTATGGGGAATTGTCTGGATTATTTGAGTGACTAGGATTGATTCTTCAGTTGATCGCTCAGTTGAGGTAGCACACTTGTCTTTGAATATTGTTTTCTTGCTCAGTTGAGCCTTCTGCTTCCTCACTTTCATAGTGTTACTCACTCACTCACTCACTCCCTCACTAAAGGCTTGGGTAGGCTTAGTTGGGTTTGCTAAGCCATTGAGACTTATCTATCATTTCTCTTTGATCTTTCCTCTCTGTGCTCCCCCTCAACTGGAGCATTCAGCAGGATGCATTCAACAATGTTTGGCACTTGGGAGGAGAACTTTGAAAACACCCCCTCAAAATATGAGAGAATCCTTGCATTTTGCATTGTCTGGTACCAAGAGGAGAAAAATGAAACTCCCCCTCAGAAGTTGCAAGTTGTGTTGTTTGTTTCCCCGAGAGTAAAGTAGAAAACTCCCCCTTGGAATGTGCTTTCTTCGTTGTTTGGCACCAGGAGGAGTGAAAAAGAAACACCCCCTCAGAATATACACTCATTGTTTGTTCTTGGCACGTGTTGGTGTTGAGGTGTGCATTTGATGACTTTCAGCTCATTCGGGAGTGTACGCGCCAGTATTCCCTTTCATAATGTGCACCTATTGATTGCTCACAGTTCGTCTTCATACCCGCCATGTGTGTGGAGCAATCGGACCAGTTACCACACATGACGGACCTTCAAGGCAGCTTAAGTACGTTTTGGTACCCATTTCCAGATGAGTCCTTCCTTTGCAGCATTGAAGAGTTGTTTCACCTTCTGTTTAATTTGAGATCCTAGGCTAGCTGATTGAGAGGAGTTTGACATTCTTAGTTTTTCAGCTTCAGCCTTAGGAACCCACTTTTGTCTGAGCTTGAGAGTAGGAGAGGTTTCACTATCAGTGAGGGAATGATCAGACAAGTAGTCTTTAAGAATTGGTTCCTTAGAGTCTTCTCAAATGTTTGAGTGAGTGAACTTTGAGGGGATACTTCAAGCATGGTAATTTATACTCCCCCCAATGTTCACCTTTGCGGAAGCGGACTTATTTGGATTTTGCTGAACATTCAAACACTTTGAGTTGGTTGGAGGAGGCCTCAGACTCAGAGCAGCGGAATTTTATTGGTTTAATCCAATTTGGAGAAGAAGAGCTCAAATGATGATTCTTAGTGGATATCTTTTTCTTGGCATAAAACAGAGCGCTTGAACATCAGTTCCTATCCTTCCGATGAGATTCTTCTGCCTTCTTTCTTCTTCATAACTTGTCCTCTATTCATTCTCCTCTTCTTTCCACTCTCCTCTTCACAGGAGCCCTCATTGGTGAAGGTGGCTCAAAGTGAGAAGTGAATGTTTCAGGATCATCTGTTGAATTTTCAGAACAGTTCTCAGATGATGGAGGAGAAGGAGATTGTGAGCTTGTGCTTGATTGAGAGGATGTTTGGAACAAGGATATTTCTTTCAAGAGCTATTCTCTTTCCTCTTTAAAACTTTTTCTTTCATTTTCTAAAGTCTTGTGTAAATCAAGAATTTTTTGTGTCAGCGGGGAAATACAGGGTTCACCTCCAAACTTTGAGATACCAATTGTCCCGGTTTGAGTGTTTGGTGAGTAGGTTTCCTGTTTTGTCCCGGTTTCCTTCTCTGGAGGATAATAACTCACAATCTCATCAGTTGAAAGTTCTTGTTCTTTTGTTTCATATCTTTCATTTAAAGTATCATAATCACAAGAAATTTCAACCGCAGGATTAGACCTTTTCTTGTCCTCTTCCTCAAGTGTCTCTTCTTCACTAAAATAGACCATCTTTTCAAACAAATCAAGACGCATGTAATCCAAGTCATAAAGTTGAATACAGTCCACTTTCTTCAGATTACATGGATTCTTTATACCAACTCCTTTGGTATTGTAGAAATGAATGTCTTTTTATTGATTTAAGAAAATGGTTTGTTCTGTTTGACCTCTTGTTGCAAGAAGATCCTCAAGTTCTTTGATTTTACGATAGAGAGCACTTTTTTTATTATTGAGGAAATATTTTTTTGCTTTTTCAGTGTTTCGCTCTGCCTCAGTTTCTTGCAATCTAAAAGTTAGATCAGCTATTTTGAGTGTTAGCTCTTCTATTTCAAGTGTAATTTTCTTGACCTCTTCTTTTGAGTTTTCCAGTTGTATGCTCAATGAGGCGGATTTATCCATTTACTTTAGTAAAACTTTGTAATTATTTGCTCATCTCTCTTCTAATTCCTTGATGATTGTATCTTTCTCAGATTTGCTTACCTCAGACATATCAGAAACTTTAGCACATATGTTCTTCCATAATGATGATGAGCTAGAAGCATCCATTGTTGGTTGTTGAATGTTGACCGTAGACGTGATGTTGATTGAAGTTTCTGCAATTTTCTGGACCTTGAAATGTGGCTTGTACCTTGAGAAAAAATAGACTTAACCTTGAGATTTTTTTTAATTATTTTTTTTAATCTCAAGGTTGACTCTTGGAAGCTTTGAGTGAAAGATTGACCTCTTCTGATTTGAGCTCAAAAATTGAAATGCACTTATCCAAGAGAAGGAGAAAAAGAATTTTTTTAACAATCCCACACCTAAACTCCTTGGGAACCTTTGAGCATATTAATAGGAACCACTCCTTTCTTAGTAGTAAAAGGTGAAGGAGAAGAGGGGAGCTCTCGCACACATGGGATTTCGGCTTTCAGTTCAAAATCAAAAATTCGCACCCCCCTGCGCGGGCGACCTGCGGACACAAATGCTGCAAAAATTAGCGGTTCTCAAAAGAAAATTTCCCCCCTCTTTCCTTTTTTTAAAATGGGCTCCGGAAATCTTAATCTCGAGAAATGCTTATCGAGATCCTAAAACTCGAGAACGTGAACTTCGAGATTTGCTATATCTTCGAGATCTGCTAAAATATCGAGATCCTTTTCTCGAAGCCTGAATATCGAGATCCTTGTCGTTCTTTCTGAATATCGAGATCTTTTCTCGAACCTTAAATGTCGAAATCCTTTCTCGAACCTTAAATGTCGAGATCCTTTCTCGAAGCTAAAATATCGAGATCCTTCAAATACAAAATTTCGAATTGTGAAAAACTTAAAACTGTTCCGAGAAGTTCTCAATGTCCAGATTCCTCGTGTATCAATTTCAAGTCGAAATCTTTCATGTAACCTGTACAAACCTTGATATCGAGATCTCAATGTCGAGATCTTCAAAACGTAAAGATTACAGAAATAAAAAAATTAGGTATTCTGTTGAATCGTTAGATGATGGCGATTCCAACAGTATAACTTTTACAGATTTTCGTTCACAAACAAGATTACAGCAGCTAAATCTTTAAAACAATGAAAACAAAAATAACATAGCGGTTCTTTGTCTGATATTCTCTCGGTCAACTCCGAATTTTTCAGAAATTCTTCAATCGATTTCACGCTTGGCAAATTGATAGTCCCAATATCATCCGACACTCATACAAAAAATATATCGAGTACAGAAGAAACGATGATCCGATTTAATACCAAACAAAGATTTCGAATTACACAATAGGGTATTGAGAAGGGAATATGCGGCTCTCTCTTAGTACAAATTTGCATAGCCTAATTAAGCAGAATCACAACAAATTAGTTTATAGACCCTTGGTATTCTTTTCATATTGATACGTTTGTAATTTCCATATATATGTTTATGTTTTTATTTAGTTTTGATTGATTTTTACTTTGGAAATTACACACTTTTGGTGTAATAGTTTAGTTTATTAAATACTTGTAAATTGTTTAGATTAGGTTTATTCTGAGCTCAAGAAGGTCTTGATCACTCAAAGGACAGTTGGTGAACCCCAAAAGTGGAAGGAAGGTGCAAAATCAAAAGAAAAAAGGAAGATCCTGATTTTTTGGTCTAAACCCGGTCGGGTATGACCTATACTCGATCGGGTATCTTGTTGAAATTTCAAATCAGATCAGATCTGAAGACAAAGGAACATGCAGGGAAGATTTTGACCACGATCGAGTGTCCATACCCGATCGGGTACACCGACACACCCGATCGGGTATCACTTCAAATATAAACCTGAATTTTTACCCATACCCGACCGGGTACAAGAACACACCCGATCGGGTATGCCTATGTAATAAATCCCATAATCGATCGAGTATACCTCGAATCTGGCACTTCACGCATACCCAGTCGGGTACCATGTATATACCCGATCGGGTATCCGAGCTACATCCCCAAAAGTCTATAAATACACCCCCTTCCTTTCACAATTAGATCACCAATTCACATATACTTCTAAGCTCAGTCTAGACTAATTTTTTCTTTATATTTTCTTCATGTTTAGTCTCCAAATGAAGAGCTAAACTCTTCCATCTTGGTTTTGCTACTTTGAAGCTTAATGAATTTGTAAGTTGTGAGTTATTTTCTTTAATCTTCTTCCTTGAATATTAATTATTTCCTATTCATATTCCATATTAATATTTTGAGCATTACTTAAAGGATCAACTAGTTTTGTTTCATATATTAATTATTACTAGAATCAACCGATTAATACGCTTGTTAATAATTCGGTTCTTTCAACGGTAGTAAAACTTTGATTATTAATGCATGCGTCTTATGGTTAATAATCTAGGGGGAATTAATTATATTGATTAAACCAATAAATCGCTTGTGTTGAGGTTATCAATCTCAATCGTTTTCATCTTAAGTTTATTGCTACTATCGGGATAATATACGGCGCGTGTTCTATATTGACTCGGTATTAAGTTTTATTAATGGACGCGTCTCGTTATTAATAACTACCCTCGATGAACTGGATATACTCCTCGATTGAGTATTCGAGAGGAAGATAGTTAAAGATATAACCGGGATCGGCGAACATTTCATTAAGTGGATAAAAGCAAAACCAAGTCCTCATATCTATTAATTAAACTCATATAAGTCATTCATCTTAGTGTTTAAATACATTTTTAATTCATCACGCAATCAAAACCCCCGTTGTTACCATTCTTATAAAAGAAAAGTATTCATTTCCCTGTGGATACGAACCTTACTTCATTATACTACGTATATTCGTTGTATTGTATTTATTTTGAGTGCACCTCACGACAAGTGCACGTCAAATTTGGCGCCGTTGTCGGGGAAAGACAATTAGTTTCTTTTTTTATCTCAAGAAAACTCAAAATATATATATATATAAATAAAATATAAAGAGTTCTTATTCTTCTATTTCTGAGCTTTGAAGTATATGGTTAAATATTGTTCACTGAACAAAATCACCTACCAATCAAACCCCAAAATAGAACAAACTTTCGAGCGGTTGAAAAGTAAAATTTCAAACACCGACTCGGAGGAATCATCTACTAGAGATTCATCCACCTCTAGCTCTAGTTCTAGCGAGTCCGAAGAGTCCTTTCACATGGTTCTTGAAACAAGAATACTGAGGGAGCTCACAGCTCCAAACTTGAACCAACAACCGTTATGTATTACCTTCCCTACTCTCGATGAGGGTAATACGTTTGAGCTAAAATCTGGGCCCATTCATCTGCTGCCATCCTTCCATGGCTTGAGAGGAGAAGATCCGAACAAACACCTCTCGGAGTTTCACATCATTTGCACAAGCATGTGTCCAAATGGTGTGACGGAAGAACAAATCAAACTGCGGGCTTTTCCATTCTCACTAAAAGACACCGCAAAGGATTGACTCTTCTATCTTCCTTCGGGAAGCATAGACACATGGGCGGCAATGAAGAAATGCTTCTTGGAAAGGTACTATCCCGCCTCCGTGTCCTCCTCTTTAAAGAAGCAAATAAGCAATATCGAACAAGGTGATGATGAATCACTTTATGAATTCTGGGAGCGCTTCAAAAAGCTCTGTGCTAGTTGTCCATACCATGGATATACGGAGCAAGACCTCATTCTTTATTTTTATGATGGTCTTGCGGAGCATGATAGACAAATGGTTAATGCAGCATGCGGAGGGGGTATTGTCAACAAAACTCCCTCTCAAGCAAGAAACCTCATCTCAGAGTTGGCCGAGAATTCTAGGCATTACACCGGGCGGTCCTCAATCCGAAACGTTGCCGCAGCGGAATCATATTCATCTTTGGAAAGTCAAATGGCCGGCTTGACTTCTTTGGTTAAGGATTTTCTTTTAAATCCTAGAAACCAAGAGGTCAAGGTCTGAGACATATGCACACAGCAGGGGCATCCAACCGATTCTTGTCCAACTCTTCAAGAAGAACAAGCCAATGCTTTGGGTTTCCAAACTCATCAACAAAAGAGGTACGATCCACACTCTAACTCCTACAATCCCGGGTGGAGAGATCACCCGAATTTGAGATATGGGAACCCTCAACCACAACAAAGTCAGCCCTTACAACAATCTTTCCCAAATCACCAAGACCAAATTTCAAGCTCAAATATGTCCACTGAAGACATGATCCGAGCACTCACCTCAAATGTCTCAACCATGCAACAAAACATGGTTCAATTTCAACATGAGACCAAGTCTAGCATACAAAACTTGGAAAGCCAAGTGAGTCAAATAGCTGGAGCCGTAAGCAGGCTTGAAGCAAAAGATTCCGGAAAGCTTCATTCTCAAACAGAATAAAATCCAAGGCACCATGTTAATGCTATCATGTTGAGAAGCGGAAAAGAAGTGCAAGAAAAAGAGGAGGATGAAGAGGAAGATATTCAAGAGGAAGAGCAACCGGAAGAGATGGACACAAAGAGTCCACCAGTGTCATCATACGAACCACAACCTCCTTTTCCCGAAGCATTGAGGGAGACAAGGCCGCTGAAAAAAGACAAAGACATGTACGATACATTCGCCAAATGCAAGGTAAATATCTCCCTCCTCAACTCAATTAAAAGTGTCCCTCGATTTGCAAATTTTTAAAAGAATTATGCACAATCAAGAGGACCCCAAACTTAAAGGGAAAACAGAAAATTGAAATTAGTGAACATGTCTCAGCAGTTTTTCAAAAATAACTTCCAAAAAAATGCACTGACCCAGGCATGTTCACTATACCATGCAAGCTGGGAGACACCACTTTTGGAGCCATGTTGGACTTAGGGACATCAATTAACGTGATCCCTATACTCTTTATAATTCCTTGAACCTTGGCCCTTTAAAGAAAACCGGCGTCATAATCCAACTAGCCGGTGGATCAACTATTTCTCCAAAAGGGGTGGTGGAAGATGTACTTGTCTCGGTGAGCGATCTAGTGTTCCCTGCTGATTTTTATGTGATTAAAATGGAGAGTAATAGACATGAAGTCCCTATTTTATTAGGGAGACCATTCTTAAAAACTGTTAGTTCAAAAATCGATGTATCTAGCGGGCTTTTAACTATGGAATTTGATGGAAGAAAAATAGAATATAACATTTATAATTCTATAAAAAATCACTCCATTTAAAGAAAAAAAATGAATCAATCTTGATCATTGAGGAAGCACTAGACAAGTCACCATTAAATAAACCCTCTGAAAATGAATCGAAACCATCGGAAATTGAGGTGGTAACTAAAATGAAAATCCGGTCTAAATGAACAAGACCGAAATAACAAGATAAAAAAGGGCCACACAAGGCCGTTGTTTTTGAAGAAGGGGTTACTCATGATTCCACCTGGAAAAAAAATGAATAACGTCGGGCCACGACGTTAACTTAGACGCTTCTTGAGAGGCAACCCAAGTTTTATTTTTCATTATTTCGAGTGTTTAAAGTTCATTTTTCATAATTGTTTGAGAGATGAGTGAGAGAGGGCACTAACCACATCTTTGGAGGGAAAGAAAATGCAGGTTTCCGACGATCTGGGGATATACCCGATCGGGTACCACATAGTACTCGGTCGGGTATGGCTAAAAAAGGGGAACCGAGTCACTACTCGATCGAAGGAGCATAATTTTTTCAAGAATGCATGTATACTCGATCGGGTACAATTACATACTCGGTCGAGTACACATAGAAAGGCGAAGCTAAATGGAACCTGCTCCCAGCACTCGATCGAGTACAGGGCTCAAAATGTGGAAAAAGAAACATACCCGATCAGGTGCTACTTCATACCCGGTCGGGTAAGCCTTGAAAACTTAAACCCAAAACAGCCTGCCTCCAGCACCCGATCGGGCACAATACAATACCCGGCCGGGTAAGCCTGGAAAACTGAAGCCCTAAACACACTGCCTCCTATACCCGATTGGGTATAACACAATACTCGATCGGTACACCTGCATTTTAACCCCAAAATAGCCCAATTCACTTCATCTTCCCCAATTTCCCAACCCAAATTTCGAACAACCCTTCCCCAACCTCCATTTTCAAACCTTCTCTCTACCATGTCTCCCTCATTTCTCCATCAAATCACCTCATTCCACCACCAAAATACTCCCCTCACTCTCCTCTAAACACCCATACCAACCAACCTAATTTTCCCCCAATTTCCAAAGGTCCGAAAAAACCATACCCCCATTTTTAGTTTTCGGATTTTAAGCTCTCAAATCACCATAATGGCACCAAGGAAGGACAAAGGGCAGAGCTCCAACGATATGGCACCCATCCCAGGCTACGAGGACCTCCATTTCGCCGACAACGAACACCGAGCTCGATTCCTCACCACAATTGCAAGGCAAGTAAAACCATCCCGTTTTCTATGCCACGATGCTCTTCGTGAATTAGGAGTGTATAAGAGTACTAGGAAATTCTTTCATGAGTTGAATATGGACCGTATCTTCAAAATGAAATACAACTCTAATGAACGAATTATCTATGAATTTCTGAGTTCGGTGAAATTTGAAAGTGATGAGGCTGATTTTAGGGATGACAAACTCAGGTTTCGTTTGTTCAACCAAAACTATTCAATAACGAAACTTGAGTTTGTCGAACATTTTGGCATCCCTGTCCCCTACGAAAGAACCATATCCGATAACACCATTTTCGGTCATTCACTTTGGACAAAGATGACCGGTGAAGTGAATTTTAGCTCCTCCCAATTGTACATTAGCCATGTCCAACACCCTGTCCTCCGATTATTCTTGAAATTTTTAGCAAACTGTTTGCTTGGGCGCCCCAACAATCATCACATGAGGATGGGGGATGTATGCTTGATGTCTGTAGCTTTATTCCGTCGCCATGTGGATTGTAATCTGTGCAATCTAATGTGGGCACATTTGAAAAAAGAAAGCACGACAAGAGGGGCCATTGTTGTGGGTGGGGTAATTATGCACTTGGTAAAAAAGTTCGGGTATACGGATAACTCTCCTATACCTGACTATTGTTTGATGAATATGGCTTGGTTGGGTCACTCAGGATGCACAGCTTTTTCCCACATGGTGTATGGCGGTGAACAACCGAAAAACATGTACAATTGGCTCATACACCCAAAACCGATCAAACACTTCCCCATGCCTAGCCCAGACCTCCCCAAACTATTATACAAAGTAGAGGTCGAGGTGCCCCACTATCTATTCCCACACACCCTTCCACCACATCTCCAAGAACCTCAACATGACCAACCCGAGGACGAGCCTTGTGCCGGACCCCATGATCATGAAGACATGGACGTAGACATCCCCGAGCAGCCTCAAGACCCTCCACCACCCAACTATTTTCAACAAATTTTGGAGGGTCAACAACAAATACTTGCGAGGTACAACCAAATGAACACAAACTACATAGCCATGGGGGACCGACTCACTCAAATTCAGGAGGACCAAAGAGCGGGTTTTCAACGGATGGAAGAGCTCCGGGAAGTCGACAACCACCGCTATGAGGAGGATCAACGTAGGCTTTATGGACCTATGTACTCCTACTTCGTCCATCAAGGCTCTTTTCATACTATGGCCACTCCTCCACCACCATCCTCTTGGTACGACCCCGCTCATTGGGGTAGCTTTGGCGGTTCAAGCTCCGGTGGTGGAGGCAACGACACAATGGGGGATGGCGGCACCGGTGGCGGATTTGATAGCAGCTTTGGTGGCGGCTTTGGAGGTGGCTACTATGGCGGAGAAGGCAGGCATTAGGGACAATGCCTCAAGCTAAGAAGGGGGGAGACCACTCATTGGTATGTAAATTTCTTTTTTTTCTACCTTGAAACTAGCATGTTTCTCTTTACTTTTAGTATTTTTGAGCACAAAAAAAGGAATAAATAAAAAAAAAGAAATGCTAGTTAGGTTGAAAACCCCCAAAAATGGGCAATCTAAGCAAAAAGGGCTTATAAAACAAAAAAAGAGTGAGTTAGGGAGAGTGGAAAATGAAAAGAGATGCTAGGATGAAAACCTGAAAAGGCTCCTAGGCAAAATGAGAGATATGAGAGAAATATTTGTTTTTGCAGGCACTCATTTGATCTCTTTGGATAATGAGAAGACTCAAGAAGAAGAAGAAGAAGAAGAAGAAGAGGAAGAAAGCGAGAGCATAGAAAACTGAAAAACTCAAGAAGAATGTCTTATTTGTAAAACATTTTATAATTCCTTGGTGGTTTTTATGTTCTTTCTTACTTAAAACTCTTGGACCATTTGGAAACATTTTACTTTACTCGATATCGAGTAAAGAACTATGTGTGGGGGAGTTGATACGTTTGTAATTTCCATATGTATGTTTATGTTTTTAATTAGTTTTGATTGATTTTTACTTTGGAAATTACACACTTTTGGTGTAATAGTTTAGTTTATTAAATACTTGTAAATTGTTTAGATTAGGTTTATTATGAGCTCAAACAGGTCTTGATCACTCAAAGGACAGTCGGTGAACCCCAAAAGTGGAAGGAAGGTGCAAAATCAAAAGAAAAAAGGAAGATCCTGATTTTTTGGTCCATACCCGGTCGGGTATGACCTATACTCGATCGGGTATCTTGTTTAAATTTCAAATCGGATCAGATCCGAAGACAAACGAACATGCAGGGAAGATTTTGATCATGATCGAGTTTCTATACCCGATCGGGTACACCGACACACCCGATAGGGTATCACTTCAAATATAAACCTGAATTCGATCGAGTATACCTCAAATATGAGGTTTTACACATACCTGATCGGGTACAAGAACACACCCGGTCGGGTATGCCTATGTAATATATCCCATAATCGATCGAGTATACCTCGAATCTGGCACTTCACACATACCCGGTCGGGTACCATGTATATACCCGATCGGGTACCCGAGCTGCATCCCATAAAGCCTATAAATACACCCCCTTGCCTTCACAATTAGATCACCAATTCACATATACTTCTAAGCTCAGTCAAGACTAATTTTTTCTTTATATTTTCTTCATGTTTAGTCTCCAAATGAGGAGCTAAACTTTTCCATCTTGGTTTTGCTACTTTGAAGCTTAAGGAATTTATAAGTTGTGAGTTATTTTCTTTAATCTTTTTCCTTGGATATTAATTATTTCCTGTTCATATTCCATATTAATATTTTGAGCATTACTTAAAGGATCAACTAGTTTTGTTTCATATATTAATTATTACTAGAATCAATCGATTAATACGCTTGTTATTAATTCGGTTCTTTCAACGGTAGTAAAACTTAGATTATTAATGCATGTGTCTCATGGTTAATAATCTAAGCGGAATTAATTATATTGATTAAACCAATAAACCGCTTGTGTTGAGGTTATCAATCTCAATCGTTTTCATCTTAAGTTTATTGCTACTATCGGGATAATATACGGCGCGTGTTCTATATTGACTCGGTAGTAAGTTTTATTAATGAACGCATCTCGTTATTAATAACTACCCTCGATGAACTGGATATACTCCTCGATTGAGTATTCGAGAGGAAGATAGTTAAAGATATAACCGGGATCGACGAACATTTCATTAAGTGGATAAAAGCAAAACCAAGTCCTCATCTCTATTAATTAAACTCATATAAGTCGTTCATCTTAGTGTTTAAATACATTTTTAATTGATCACCCAATCAAAAACCCCCTTGTTACCATTCATATTAAAGAAAAGTATTCATTTCCCTGTGGATACGAACCTTACTTCGTTATACTACGTATATTCGTTGTATTGTATTTATTTTGAGTGCACCTCACGACAAGTGTACGTCACATTTCTATGCAAAACAGGTTTATTCTATGAGAATCGATTTATAGTCTGCAAAGCCAAAACTATGGTAAGTTTTAATACTACAATGAACTTGTCTTGCGTCAATAATCATAGTAGTTTGCCTCTAATTAAGCCTTTTAGAAACTGGTGTTTTATTAAAATAAAAAACATGAGCAACTTCACGAATAACATCTTCAATGTTGGTAGATTAATGAGCTGTTGGATCCACACTATCAAATAAAATACGTAGTATATGTTTCTTATACTGGTTTAAATTAAAAATCATTGAAAATGTGAAGGCATCTTCAACTATTCCCATAAAGTATAGGTTTTGCTACAGAGAATGAAATGTGAATATGTGATGCTAATAATCATATAAGTTATAGGTATTTGACACTAATACCTCAACATATATGCTTTCTAAAAACCACTTAGGACATCTTTCTTTTTCACAACCATTTTTACTGCTAAAAAGGGTAAAGACGTTTGATTAAATACATATATTGATCATTGTGAAATAAAATTCATGCTCAATTAGCCAAATTTTGAAGTAGGAAAATGGTTAGGTGTGAAACTGAATTTTAAGTGTGAAACAAAATATAGGGGAGATGTTACAAATATAAATCTAAAAGTGAAAAAGATAGAGAAGAGAGAGGAAGACTTTGGGACTCTTTTTGTTAGTTTAAACTTTAAACTACACTCGTAATAATATGTGTATGGTAGTTTTGAAATAAAATTTTCAAACAAAACAATAATTGGAAAGAAATTACACTAGAGATTGATTTGTTGGGCACCAATCTTGATGTGAATGAACAAATTGAGGAATTGGAAGGCATTTGGATTGACAAACGGCTGCACATATCAAAATTTGAAGAACTATTATTTTGAATAATCATCTGTGAAATTAAAGAAAATATAATTGGACTGCAAATCGACTAAATTCATATAATTACCTTTGGGTGGAAATGGGCGGCTTTGAGATAAATAATGAATTTGTTGAAGCCAGTTTAATTCCCTAGCGTCAAACGTGTTGGTCGCGCCGACATGTGGCGGCGATGTTTCACTCCAGCAAATATCTACTTCTCAGGCTTGAAGACCTCACATAAGGTGATTCCTTGAGCACCTTGCAGCTATGAAAATGGAGAACGGTGGAAAATACTTTACAGTGACGGAAGGAAAAAATTCAGTGGGAAGAAACTGGAAAGAAGAGGAAGGAAACAGAGATCGTTGGTTTGCAACAACCGAAGAAGAGAAAGGTGGGGAAGACATCAGTGACGGAAGGGAAAAGTTTAGTGGAAAGCATGGAAAGAAGAGGAAGGAAATGGAAATAGAATTGAGAAAAGAAGAGGATAAGCGAGAGATGAAGGGTCCAGATCAATTTTAAATGAAGGGTGAAAATTGATTTGTATCGCTATTAAGTATAAGGATAAGGATTCGAGTGTTGTTATTGAACATACATATACATGCAAGTTTATGAAAAATTGAAAGGGGTATGTAAATATATGCAACAACAACTTAAACATACTCCGTACATACTAAAAACACACATCCAATGTATTCGTTCAATCACTTCAATATTTTTTCAGAATCCAACATCATCAATATATTTACGCAACAAATTTTTAAATTAAAGTCTTTCTTTTATTATTATACATGATTTTTTTAATAATTATGATTAAAAATTCAAACATTCTGATGTAATAATAAATAAGTTTGTAGTTAGGGTTTGTTATTGTAGTAGACATGTTTTTACAAAAACCAACCGAAAGATGTAAAAATATATTTTAATGATAAGATTTTAATTTTAGATTCTAGATCTACTTAAGAATAATTTTGGACCTAAAAATCTTCATTAGATAAAATTGCAAATTTTATTTAAAAAAAATATGTATGCAATATTTTTGTCATATGAAAGATCATTAAATAATATTACTTATGATATATTTTTTGTATAAAGTGAATTACAAATATAAAAGTGAATTGGTTTCTTTTATGTGGGGCCCGTGTAGGGCTGGCAATATCAGCCGCACCCGCAGATACCCGATCAATCCGAATCGAAAATATGGATGAAAAATGGATGACGGGTGGATTGAAAGACGGGTTAGATCAGGTGTGGATGAACACCCATCCAACCCATCACCTGACCCGTCACCCGCTCCATCCACCCACCTGCTAACCCGCATATAAATGTATATATAGTAATTAATATTAATATACTAATATATATATATATATATATATACATATATATATATATATGTATATTTGTATATGTATGTATGTATGTATGTATTTGTTAATGGAAAAGACACATATCTATGAATTGGTGAAATAAAGACAATTGAAGAGTTTCAAGAAATGTCAGTTGAACTACAAATATAGTTTTGTGCTGATGCAGAAATGTAGAATTTGAAAGCTTGAAGAAACTTTATGTCTTTTGTTTGACAATCGGTTATTTCTTTATTGGCAATGGATAAATGATTGTCATATACTTACTTGTTCAAGTTTTTGTTGTTATTATTCATGAATCTTAATTTTGGTTTTTAATTGTCATGATTTATCTTTATAATAATTTATTTATTTTGTCTTTTAAGTTAGACCATATATATTCAACCGTTACTCACCCGATCCACCCAATAACCCGTTCATTATGGATGGGGTGGATGTAGATGTAATTTTTAATGGATGATGGACGGGTGTGTGGATTATGAAAAATTAACGGGTGGACATGGATGAGCCTTCACCCGGTATAGATCTGACCCGCTGCCACCCCTAGGCCCGTGTCTTTTTCGTACCTACTGTCTTGCTCCTCTCTTTTCTCACTTGGATGAATGCAGGACTGGTCCTGACAATTTATAGGCTGAGACAAAAGATAAAAAACAGACCTCTAGTTAAATATGTCGTAGAAATGTATTACAAAAGTTCATTGTCAAAAATAAAATTTGTTACACATATAAAGGTTTTTTGTCCATAGAACTACTGGTATCATAAGCCATACAAAACAATTTTTTAGACATTCTTAGAAGCAAAATTTTCAATAATACTATCAACCTTTAATTATCCACTTCTGTGAGAAAGATAGAGAGTCATCTGATCGTGTTTCGTGTGTAGCTTTGTCGTTGTGGCTAAGTCTATGGATATGAGGGTTGAGGGATATCTTTTACAGAGTATTAGAGTATAAGGAAATGATCTGGTCAGACGCGCCTAACAAGATGTCTCATACAGAGTATAGTCAAGTCCATTTGAGGAGCTTCAAGGTCAAATTTGTTGATAAAACTTTGTGAGGGTATTCTTCATAAAGATTAGATTATTTACACAAAATTTCAGTTTCGGATTCAATTGCGAAGTTGGTTAAATAAATTATTAAAAAGAACTGTGTTTTTTAGACATATATAAAGCACGTTGTTTCAATAATAAATTTTAAAGCTGAAATTTTAATCTGAAATTTTGTAGACGTCATCTACGTTTAATGAAAAGCGTGTTCACAAATATTCATCAAACAAATTCATCCAGAAGCACTTCAAATGGGCTTGGCCATATAGAACTCCCGATCAAGCACGCCTGAGGTGAACGTGACTCAAAACATATATACTACTACTAAATGATTTATCGGGTTCTCTTCTTGGTGGACCCTGGGCAGCCACCCGACCCGTCCCTATATCAGGATCGGCCCTCGGTGAATCGAGCCTCTTAATTCCCATCTCAAAGGTTTTCCAACCCATAATAACACCCCCAACTGCACCGTCAAAAAACATAAATGTAGACACCGTCGTATGAAAATTATGTTTAGACTCTATCAATATCATTTTCCACTGCATTTCAGTAATTGATCATCCTTTCTTCAAGAAGATACGGTTCTCCAAGAATAGCAAAAAGAAACCAAGAAGAGGGGAGATAACCACATCTTCACTCCAAGATGATCAAGCTGATTTGCAAACCTCTCGGGTGGTTAGGAACTTTCATGATGTATACCAAGATGA